GCAATGAGGACGCGCGATGAGGACGCAAGGGCCCTGAAATCCACGTCGACGCTGTGCGAGCGGAGCGCGGCAAGCGAAAACGGCCAAAGATGGGCATAATGAGAAGGATGCAGGGGTGGCCTTTGAGAGCCGCTCATCCTTACTGCGCGGGTTGACTGCACAGGGCGCAGCTTCGGAATCACGAAGCCCAGAGAAGCTCCCCCGAGACGCCCTCCCGAGACTGGCCCCCTTGCAAGAATCCCTTTGGAGATCCTTTTTCGGAGACAGGAGGCTCCGACGCCCTCCCGAGGCCCTCCCGAGACGCCCCCCCGAGACTGGGTCCCTTGCGAATCCCTTTGGAGATCCCCCCGAGCGAACGTGATCCCAAGAGCCCCAAGCCCAAAAGCCTTTTTCCGACGAGAGCCCCTGCAATGCAAAACAACGGAATGCAATGCGAAGCGCGCAGCAGCTCAATGCACGCACACACGTATGTATGTATGTATGTATGTATATACACATAGATATGTAGGAATATATCCATACATATATATTACTGTATGTCCATACGTACATGTACGTGGATAAACACGCATATATATATATATGTGTGTACACATACCTGCGTACGTTCATATGCACCTGCAGATTCCATGGCATGCATACAAACACAAACATACATACATACATACATACATGCATGAACGCATGCATGCATGCAACCATACATGTGTACACGCATACATATGCACATGCAGACACACCCACGTATATATACATATATATATATAAGAGGAGGAGGAGGAGGAGGAGGAGGAGGAGGAGGAGGAGGAGGAGGAGGAGGAGGAGGAGGATGCAGTGAAAAAACGAAGCGTCCACATACAGTGCGCATGCACTAATATATGTGTAGTTGTAGGCCAACTGTGTAAAACAGCACATAAGCGTTGTACATACGTTTGGCGTGTACATGTATGTGCGCGAGTGTGTCCGCGTGTGTGTTGCACTGCCTTTTTAGCCCTGCGAGGTTTAGCGCTGCCTTTTTGTCTTAGCACTGCTTTTTACCTACCAGCGAAGACTGATAGGTTTCTAATGGGCTAAAAATAGAGCAGCAGATGACTCCACAGGGGGGTCTGGGCGGGTGCCGGACAGGGTGCCGCAGAAGTCGTTTTAAGCCAACAGTCACACACTTCGTGCTCTTCGACCTCCCAGAACTCCATTCCCGGGCCACATTCTGAATGCCCGGAGCCAACTGTAGGCCACTTCGTGCTCTTCGACTTCCCAGAACTCCATTCCCGGGCCACAGTTTGAATGCCCGGAGCCAACTGTAGGCCACTTCGTGGTCTTCGAGTCCCAGAACTCCATTCCCGGGCCACATTTTGAATGCCCGGAGCCAACTGTAAGCCACTTCGTGCTCTTCGAGTTATCAAAATCCATTCCCGGGCCACATTTTGAATGCTCGGAGCCAACTGTAGGCCACTTCGTGCTCTTCGAGTTCCCAGAACTCAATTCCCGGGCCACATTTTGAATGCCCGTAGCCAACTGAGGCTGAGGCAGGCTGCTGCTGAGGCAGGCTGAGGCTGAGGCTGAGGCAGGCTGAGGCTGAGGCAGGCTGAGGCTGAGGCTGAGGCTGAGGCTGAGGCAGGCTGAGGCAGACGCTGAGGCAGGCTGATGCTGAGGCAGGCTGAGGCTGAGGCTGAGGCTGATGCAGGCTGAGGCTGAGGCTGAGGAAAAGGTTGAGGCTGAGGCTAAGGTTGAGGCTGAAGCTGAAGCAGGCTGAGGCTGAGGCTGAGGCAGGCTGAGGCTGAGGCTTAGGCAAGCTGATACTGAGGCAGACTGAGGCTGAGGCTGAGGCAGGCTGAGGCTGAGGCAGGCTGAGGCTGAGGCTGAGGCAGGCTGAGGCTGAGGCTGAGGCTGAGGCTGAGGATGAGGCAGGCTGAGGCAGACGCTGAGGCAGGCTGAGGCTGAGGCTGAGGCAGGCTGTGGCTGAGGCTGAGGCTGAGGCAGGCTGAGGCTGAGGCTGATGCAGGCTGAGGCTGAGGAGGCTGAGGCTGAGGCTGAGGCTGAGGCTGAGGCTGAGGCAGGCTGAGGCTGAGGCAGGCTGAGGCTGAGCTGAGGCTGAGGCAGGCTGAGGCTGAAGGCAGGCTGAGGCTGAGGCCGAGGCTGAAGGCAGACTGAGGCTGAGGCTGAAGCAGGCTGAGGCTGAGGCCGAGGCAGGCTGATGCTGAGGCTGAGGCAGGCTGATGCTGAGGAAAAGGTTGAGGCTGAGGCTGAGGCAGGCTGAGGCTGAGGCTGAGGCAGGCTGAGGCTGAGGCTGAGGCAGGCTGATGCGGAGGCAGGCTGAGGCTGAGGCTGAGGCTGAGGCTGAGGCTGATGCAGGCTGAGGCTGAGGCAGGCTGAGGCTGAGGCCGAGGCTGAAGGCAGGCTGTGGCTGAGGCTGAGGCTGAAGCAGGCTGAGGCTGAGGCTGAGGCAGGCTGAGGCTGAGGCTGAGGCAGGCTGATACTGAGGCAGGCTGAGGCTGAGGCTGTGACTGTGACTGCCGTTGCCACTGCGACTGTCATCGCGAATGCGACTGCGACTGCGAGAACAGGAGAATTCTACAACTGGATTCTCATCTGGATCTTAAGGGGAATGTTTCCATATATGCTTCTACACATCGCTGTTAGGTTGCTTTGCCGGGATAATTACCTAACAGCTTGTTCTGATAGGTTTCTAATGGGCTAAAAAGAGAGCAGCAGATGACTCCACAGGGGGGTCTGGGCGGGTGCCGGACAGGGTGCCGCAGAAGTCGTTTTAAGCCAACAGTCACACACTTCGTGCTCTTCGACCTCCCAGAACTCCATTCCCGGGCCACATTCTGAATGCCCGGAGCCAACTGTAGGCCACTTCGTGCTCTTCGACTTCCCAGAACTCCATTCCCGGGCCACATTTTGAATGCCCGGAGCCAACTGTAGGCCACTTCGTGGTCTTCGAGTCCCCAGAACTCCATTCCCGGGCCACATTTTGAATGCCCGGAGCCCACTGTAGGCCACTTCGTGCTCTTCGAGTTCCCAGAACTCCATTCCCGGGCCACATTTTGAATGCCCGGAGCCAACTGTAGGCCACTTCGTGCTCTTCGATTCCCCAGAACTCCATTCCCGGGCCACATTTTGGATGCCCGGAGCCAACTGTAGGCCACTTCGTGCTCTTCAAGTTCCCAGAACTTCATTCCTGGGCATGATTTTGAATGCCCGGAGCCAACTGTAGGCCACTTCGTGCTCTTCTAGTTCCCAGAACTCCATTCCTGGGCCACATTTTGAATGCTGAGGCAGGCTGATGCTGCGGCCGAGGCAGGCTGAGGCTGAGGCAGGCTGAGGCTGAGGCCGAGGCTGAAGGCAGACTGAGGCTGAGGCTGAAGCAGACTGAGGCTGAGGCTGAGGCAGGCTGAGGCTGAGGCTGAAGCAGGCTGATGCTGAGGCAGGCTGAGGCTGAGGCTGAGGCTGATGCAGGCTGAGGCTGAGGCAGGCTGAGGCTGAGGCCGAGGCTGAAGGCAGACTGAGGCTGAGGCTGAAGCAGGCTGAGGCTGAGGCTGAGGCAGGCTGAGGCTGAGGCAGGCTGAGGCTGAGGCTGAGGCAGGCTGAGGCTGAGGCTGTGACTGCGACTGCCGTTGCCGCTGCGACTGTCATCGCGAATGCGACTACGACTGCGAGAACAGCAGAATTCTACAACTGGATTTTCATCTGAATCTTAAGGGGAATGCTTTCAGATATGCTTCCACACATCGCTGTTAGGTTGCTTTGCCGGGATAATGTTATAACGGCATGTGGTAGCACTGCTTTTTTAGCGGTGGCGATGTAACACAGCCTTTTTGGCGCAACATGGCATATTTTGAAATCCCACTGCTCTTTTAGCGCCGGAAGAACTTCTGGGCAGGGGGGATGTTGGACGAAGAATAAGGAATACGCCAAGAGATGTCCCCAGCTTATTTTTTCGTCCAGAAAAACAATCCCCAGACAATGTTTTGACTATTTTTGAATATCCCCCCTGTAGAGGGACAGGCCCGGCTTAACTCGAGGCTCGAGGCTCGAGGCTCGAGGGTCGATGTCGAGAATCGAGGGTCGAGGGTCGAGGACCGAGGCTCGAGGCTCGAGGCTCGAGGCTCGAGGTCGAGGCTCGAGGGTCGAGGGTCGAGGGTCGAGGATCGAGGAACGCGGAACGAGGATCGCAGATCGAGGCTCGAGGACGGAAGATCGAGGCTCGAGGGACGAGGGACGAGGCTCGAGGCTCGAGGGTCGAGGTCGAGCATCGAGAATCGAGGGTCGAGGATCGAGGATCGAAGATCGAGGCCGCTGCAGTCGCCGACGCCGGGTCCTCGCGCACCGGGCCCCCGCAGCTCCCGCAGGCGGCGCCCGGCCGCCGCGCCGCCGCCGCCGGGCCCCGCGCCGCCTCTCCGGGGGGCGGCGGCGGCGGACCGCGAGCCGCGATCCGCGGTCCTGCTCGATGCTCCTCGATCCTCGACCGACCATCGAGGCTCCTCGATCCTCCTCGGCCCCCCTCGATCCTCCTCGACCCTCCTCGAGACCCCCTCGAGCCCCCTCGACCTCGCCTTCTCTTCGACCGACCCTCGGCCCCCCTCGACCCTCCTCGGTCCTCCTCGACCGACCCTCGGCCCCCCTCGACCCTCCTCGATCCTCCTCGACCCACCTCGACCCCCCCCCTTGACACTATCCACGACCCTCCTCGACCCCACCCGACCGACCCTCGACCACTTTTTGACCCTATCCACGATCCTCCTCGACCCACCCTCGACCCCCGACCCCGAACGACCCCCCCCCAAGATCTCCCCGGGTCCGCCGATGCAATTTGTCGCCCCAGGTCCACCCGGTTTTGAAGGTCCCGGGCCCAGCAACGGCACCCGGAGACCGAAACCGATCGAAAACGAAAGCTGTTCAGACCAAGTTCTCTGGAAAGGCGGCCAAAACTGCCGTGGGCATCTGCCTCGATCGACGAGAAGAGGAGAAGGACGAGGAGCGCACCGCGCCGCGGCGCCTCGGCGCGCCGCGGCGAGGCCTCGCCCCCCGCGGGCACGCCCGCCGCGCCCCCCTCGCCGACGCCCGGCGGGGGCTCGGGGCTGCCGCCGCCTCGGGCGGGGGGGGGGTCCTCGAAGCTCCGCAAGGCGCCTCGAGGGTCCTCGAGGGGCCTCGAGGCTCCTCGAGGCTCTACGATCCGCCTGGGCCCTCGAGGGTCCTCGAGGGTCCTCGAGGGTCCTCGAGGGTCCTCGAGGGTCCTCGAGGGTCCTCGAGGGGCCTCGAGGCCCCTCGAGGCTCCACGATCCTCCTGGGCCCTCGCTCCTGGCCCTCGGTCGCTCCTCGACCGATCGAGGATGGCGCGGGCCCTGCGCATTTCCTCCTCTGTGCTCTGACAAACTTCCCCGCGGCGCCTCCCGCTGCTTGACCGGTACCTGCCTCGCGTGCCCGCCGAGCCGAATTGAATAGTTTACCCGCGACGAGGAGGAGCAGGATAGAGATCCAAGGGGATCGGCTTTTGGTGGAGGATTGTGAATGAAGGAGGATCGAGGGTCGGTCGAGGAGGATCGAGGAGGATGGAGATCGACGGGGGTCGAGGAGGAGGAGGACCGAAGAGGATCTCAGGTCTCAGGAATATCGAGTAGGAGCAACTTCTCGTCTGGAGACTGGCGGGTGTGGCCTCCCGGGGCTCTCTGCATCGCACCCTGCCCCCCCCCCCCTCTCGCCTCCTCACTCGGTGCTGGGCCGGAAGAGCGTGCAAAGGGGAGCAGAAGGAAGGGCGATTCGAGTGTGCACATGCCGCTCGAGTCCGAAGCTGGCGGACATGCTGGGTCGGCTTGAGGCCAGGACGGGACGGGGCAGATGGGAAGGCCTATCATGAATGCCATGTTCTCGATGGCCCTTGTGGCGCAGAAGAGGAGGTGGCAGGTGCACATCCCCAGCGCCAGCTCTGCAGGATGACCCTCTCGACCAAGAATCTGCACAATAACTTGGAAAAATAGTTCCTTCCAGAATGTGGCAAGACCACCGCTCCAGGCCGAAACCTTCGCCCGAGCAGCGCACATCTTATCTTTACACAGCCTCCGTAGTGTTGGTGGCACTCCACTCTTGAACAGGTACACTCGGCTGGCCAAGCGTGGCCCGACTGCGCGCAGAGGAAGGAGGCCCAGCGCGTCACCAGGGAAGGCCAAGCTGGCGCGTGGCACGCGGCCTGAGGTACGATGCCGCCTCCAGACTGCAGCGCGAGGACACCCGGGACTGGCGACCGACGATGCATCGCCGGAGGCCCCAAGAGCCACACCACAATTTGAAGACGGCGGCGCTGGCTCGGCGGGGGAGGCTGCTGGGCAGGTCGGGCCCCCTGGCAGGCAGGGCGGATATATATATATATATATATATATATTTATATCCGCTCGCCCGCTGGCGGCGCGCGGGAGGCGGGGAAGCCGGAGGGGGGAAGGCTTCTTAGAAGCACCGGTGCTTCTTAGAAGGCGCGGGCCTACTCTGCGGATGTGAGGCCAGCGCCTTCTACGGAGCAGTCTCCTTCCAAGAAGCCGTCCCCCCTGCCCCCAACCTCTAAAGGTCTCTATAAACCCCCAAACGGATCAAACAATTACTTGTTCGGCGGCCTCGTTCACGGACAGGTGTCCCACCAATAAAGGAGAGGAAATATTTCTACCCCGCGGCACCCGCTGCGCAACAACGCCGCCGACAGCTACGACAACGATTGCGCTTACGACTCAGACGACTCCTAGTACATATGCTTCACGAGCGCTCTCAGTAGTAGTTGTAGTAGTAGTAGTAGTAGTAGTCGTAGTAGTAGTAGTAGTAGTAGTAGTAGTAGTAGTAGTAGTCGTCGAAGTAGTAGTAGTAGTAGTAGTAGTAGTAGTAGTAGTAGTAGTAGTAGTAGTAGTAGTAGTAGTAGTAGTAGTAGTAGTAGTAGTAGTAGTAGTGGTGGTGGTGGTGGTGGTAGTAGTAGTAGTAGTAGTAGTAGTAGTAGTAGTAGTAGTAGTAGTAGTAGTAGTAGTAGTAGTAGTGGTAGTAGTAGTAATAGTAGTGGAAGTAGTAGTGGAAGTGGTAATATAAACAATAGTAGCAGTAGTAGTAGTAGTAGTAGTAGTAGCAGTAGTAGTAGCAGTAGTAGTAATCCGCCGGCCCCCTTGTGGGGCCACCGGGCTGTAGGCGCGGGTTCGCAGTTTCCTGTACCAGTTGTAGCTTGTAGTTTGCACTGTTACAGTTCTGCTTCTTGCTGGTTACTGTATCTAGTTGATTGACCGCGCGAGGGGGGGGGAGGCCCAAACCAGATATTTAGCACCTCCTGGGCGCGTTGTCTGAATTGCTGGGGGAGCTCGAAATCGACACCCCTCACACAGATCGGCGGGGTCAGGGTCCAAAAACACAGGGTATTTGCAACATTTCTGAAATTCGGTGCCACCCCATATACAGATCCGCGGGGTCAGGGTCCAAAAACACAGGGGATTCGCCACATTTCTGAAATTCGGTGCCACCCCTCACACAGATCCGCGGGGTCAGGGTCCAAAAACACAAGGGATTCGCCACATTTCTGAAATCCGGTGCCACCCCTCACGCAGATCCGCGGGGTCAGGGTCCAAAAACACATGGGATTCGCCAGATTTCTGAAATTCGGTGCCACCCCTCACGCAGATCCGCGGGGTCAGGGTCCAAAAACACATGGGATTTGCCACATTTCTCTAAATTCGGTGTCACCCCTCACGCAGATCCGCGGGGTCAGGGTCCAAAAACACAGGGAATTTGCCACATTTTTGAAATTCGGTGCCACCCTGTCGATGGTTTTTACTTGGACCAAGGGGCTACAGATTAGCATGTACAGTCAACACGCCTCCAAGATGCAGGCGAGCGCATCGCCTTGCATCTTCTCTGTACTGCGGCTCGAGCCTCCCTTCTGAAGGCTCAAGCTCAAGCCAAAGCGGGCGTCCCCGCCGTGGCTCCGCGCGCCTGCGCCTGACGCGCGCCCTCGGCTCAAAGGAGCGGCCTCTGGCCGCGCCCTCACCCGTCTTAGGTGGCCCTCAAAGGGTCTTGCATTCGGCACGGACCTACCCCGTGCTGCTGAGAAGCGCGCCTAGGTGCGAGCCTAAACTCGCATCCGAGCGGAACGCTCGGATAGGCATCCTGCCTGGAACCAGCCGCGCGGCCCATGCCGCTGCAGCCAGCCCCTCACTGCTGGCCATGTGCTGGCCGCCGTCCTTCGTCAGACGGACGATGAGGTCCGCCTTCAAGCCGCCCACTGGCAGCTTCCGCCACCTGAGCTCCTCCTTGAGCTCTGCCACGGTGGCCTCAGCCAGCATCTTCCCGAGGTACTCCGTACCGAGGTCTCGCCCTTCGGCGACCCGCTCAGGCGCAGCTATCGCCGCTGCCCGAGAAACGACATGCCCCTCAGGCGCGTCCTTCGACGCCGCCTCGGGCCTCGCCGTGCCGTCGGCCCGCGGGGCAGCCCTCGCCGCTCCCGCTGGTGGGGCGGCACTCGCCGCCCTCGATGAGAAGAGCTGCACCGCCCCTCTCGTGCACACAACTGCGCCCTTGACCACGAGCACCAGCACGATGATGAACATGATCATAGCGAGAACGATCGAGCCGATGTTCGACTCGACCTCGTCGTCGGCGGCTGCGGAGCACTGCTTGTCTCCATGCTCGGCCGCCTCTGCGAAAGTGACGCCCACACCTGCGGCGAGCCCCTTGGTCAGAAGCCGCAGGTTGGACATCTCCAGCAACTTGAGCACCCGCTTGCCGTCCAGATGCTTGGTCCCCAAGTCGCTCCTGTTGCTCTCCGTGTCGACTCGACCGAGCTGCAACTCGCCGAGCCTGACTCGTTCCTGCACCCACAGATCTCGTATCTGTAGATGCCGTACCTTGCCACTGCCGATCCGCGTCGCGATCGCCCTGCCTGCATTCGAGTCGCTGTGAACCTTCGACGCGACCTCGATGCCACACTGCTGGTAGAACTGCCGCATCATGATCGCACTCGCCGCGCCTCGGCCGATCGTAGAACTCGGCCTCTCCGCTGCTGAGCGCGACGACGGGCTGCGATGCCACCTGGGTCTCCATGGCTGCCAAAGAAGCCGTCCTGGTCGATTTCCTCGTGATCTCATCCTCTGCCCAGTCCGAGTCCGTCTCGTAGAGAACCTCCTTGGGCATCTCCTGCTTCTCGTAGAACCACCCGAGCTCGCGCCGACCGTGGAGATACCGCACGCACCGCCTCAGCCTAAGCATGCTGATGACTGTGGGCTTCCCCATGTCCGTGAGGATCACCTTCACAGCGAACTGGATGTCCGGCCTGTCTACCGCCACGTAGTTGACGAGCCCCGCGACCTGCTGGTAGAGCTTCGCCTCGTCGTGCGGAAGTGGGTCCAGCGCCTCCCGGACGCTCTTGCCCGTGGCCTTGCTCCCAGGCGTGTCCGCCGGCTTGCACTCCGTAAGGCCCAGCAGCTCTACGCACCTCGTCACGTGCTTCGTGTCCCCGATCCAGACGAACCCCTTGCCCGTCCACCTGATCTTGCGCTTGAGGTACGGGAGCTCGCGGACGCCATCCGGCCCGACACGACCGATGCACTTGACGTCCATGCTCGCCATCAGCTGCTGGTCCAGGACATCCAGGGACTCCTCCTCGCCCTCGGTCAGGATGTCGTCACCGTGAATCGCCGAGGTCATGTCCAAGAGAGGCTCGTGGTACACGCCCGCCGCCACCGCGATGCGCGTCCAGTTGTTCTTCTTGAACACCCCGGCCACGTACTCCTGCCAAGCCTGTGCCGCCTTGCGCGTGCCGTACATGGCCTTCCGGAGCTGCCACACGTACCCGTCTCTCCTGAGTCCTGGAGGCGGGATGACGACGATCCACTCGTCGAGGTCGGCGTGGAAGAACGCCACGTGGACGTCATGCACCGAGAGATGCCTCCGACCCTTCTTCGTCGCCGCCAAGGAGACGATCGCCCTGACGATGGCGATCGGCGGCGTGCCCGCGTTGCAGTCCTCTCGGCCGTACGTGTTGATCTCCATGGCGACGCCTCGGGACCGGACGAAGGGGTTGCCGTCCTTGGTGCGCAGGTCCTCGACCCACTTGAAACGCACCACCTTGCCCCGGCTCTCGGCCACGCGGACCTCCTCGAAGACGCCGTGTCGCCGCATCTCCTCGATCTCGGCCTCGCGCCCGCGCCTGACCAGGTCCCTGGGGAGCTCCTTCCCGCTCCTCGCGTCGTACACGTGCTTCTCCGTGTCTGGCAGGACCGTGATCGCCGCCGGCTCGACGGAGCTGACCTCGAACATCCCGATCTCCAGCGGCTCGCAGCTCTCGATCTCCGTGACCGTCTCGAGCTCCTCGTGGGACTGCTGGTCCAGGCCCTCGTACGTGCAGGGATTGATCTCCGCGAAGGCCCCGACCGCGAGCGACCCGACTGTGATCGCCGCTGTCTGGCGCGGCCTCTTCGCCGACGCCTCGCCCTGGTCGTCGCGAGGCGCCATGCTGGCATCCCCGGACGATCCTGGCCTGCCGTCTCCAGCCCCAGCCGCTGACCCCGGCGCGGCTCCCGCCGCCGCCGGCGTCGGCGCAGCCCCCGCCGCTGCCGACGAGGGCGCGGCCTCCGCCGCTGCCCTGGCCATCTCTTCCTTGCGCAGCTCGTTCTCGATCCTCTTCCGGCACTCCTCGCTGTGCGATCCCATGCCTGTGACGCACCTCGGGCACATGGGGGTCCAGCCGTACTTGTCGACCAACGCCCTCGTGGTGTACGTCGACCTCAGCCCTGCGCCTCCTGGCCCCGCGGGCGGCGCCGGCCCGACCATCGCTGGTGGCGCCAGCGCCTCCGGGCCCGCAGCCGGTAAGACCACCGGCGGTGGTGGAGGTGGCGGCATCAGCCGCTGCTGGTTCGGCTCCACCTGGGGCGCTCCCGTCGGCACGATGCCGATCTGTGGAGCCCGGTGCATGTCCCACGGCACCCCAGCGAACTTGTCCAGCTCCTCCAGCACGAACCGCTCGCCCTCTGGTCGCCGTCTCACCGTGCGCACCCTCGTCGTGCGCGTTGGACCCGCCACCAGGTGCTCGTCCGAAACCTCTGTCTTGCCCAGCCACACCGCCGCGTGCCACCGAGGCTGCAGCTTGGAGGTCGGCGTGGGGTCCCTCGCCCAAACGCACTCCGCGAAGTTGACGAGCTCGCCCCGATACGGCCTCCCCTTGAGCACCTCGTAGGTCGTCTTGCCGTTGCCGTGCACCGTGAAGCGGTTGAGCTGCCAGCCAGCGTGCCGAATGAGCCAAGGTAGAAGCCCATGCTCGGCTGGGAGCTCCCGCTTGTAGTTGTCGCCCACCGAGAACAGCAGCGCCCTGATCTGCTTGCCGAGCTCCTCGTTGGCGCGCTCCACTCCACCGACTCCTTGATGGTTAGCCCGCTGAGCTGACTCGATCATCGTGGGCGCCTTCCGCTGAGCCTTGATCTCCCTCGCCAGGGCCGTGATCGACGCCTCCTGGTCGTGCTTCAGCACGATGCGATCCAGCCCCCAGTTCTCGATGGTGGCGACCGCTGTCTTGACCATGTAGGCGTCGGTACCCTTCGGCCCCATGATGCCATGAATAGCTTGGGAGTTCATGTGCACCATGTTGAGGATGCTCAGCTGGCCCAGGAAGTAGTAGTCGATCTGGACCTCGTCGCCCGTGCGCTCGTGCCCGTCCTTGTAGTGCGGGTCGTCCGTGAACTTGGATCTGACGCACACCCAACACCAGGACCTCGCAGGGATGCGCACCAGCTCGTGCGTCCTCTGCTCGGCCAGGCTTGGCTTCACTGGATCCTTCTTGACTCGAACTGGCACGGACTCCTCGAGCACTGCCTGCGCTGCTGGCTCGCTCGCCTCGGCCTGAGCGCGAGTCGCGGCAGCCCCTCCGCCGCCGCCGCCCTGGAGCGCGGCCCTCGCCGCTGCCCTGGACGCAGCTGATGCGCCGCCAGGCTCGCCTCCTGGCTCCTCGCCCCGCACCGGCATGACGAGCGAGTTCTTGACGCCTTCACCGTACCTGTCCATCTTGAGGTAGAACAAGTCGTTGCGCCTGACCAGCGGCACGGCGTCTGGGTCCGAGAACTCGATCGGCTTCGGGATCATGTAGCTCCCGCTCGGCGTGAATACCCACGACGTGCCCTTGTCGACCGCCTGCGACACGCCCAGCACCGGCCTCTTGACGTCGGCGACCTTGTAGTCCACCCCGATCTTGTGCCCGCCCTTCGCGTACGTGACGAAGCGCTCGCCGTGGCACGGGATGTCGTCGCCGCTCGCTCCGACCAGCCTGATGCGCTCGCTCAGGTCTCTGAGTGTCTCGTGGGCCCCGTGACTCGGCGGACACACCGATCGCGCAGCACCCGAATCCACCATGACCCAGTGCTCATTGATACCGATGATCTCCTTGCTCTCGAACGTCTCGTGCTCGTTTGCTGCCCCTGGCTGACTCAGCTGCTCGATCGGGCTGGCCCCGACCAAGAATGGCTGCCTCGGCTGCGCGTGCTCGTTTGACGCCTCTGGCGGGCTCAGCCGCTCGATCGGGCTGGCTCCGACCAAGGATGGCCGCCTCGGCTGCTCGTGCTCGTTTGACGGCCCGCTCGAACGACGGTGGATCGCTGTCGTTGCTGGTGCTGAGGGCGTCGCTGCTGCTCCACTCGATGATGATTCTTGCCCTTCTCCCAGCTCGATCGCGAGGCACCACAATGGCTCTGCCCCGCTCTCGGTTGCGATCGCCATCACTGGCGCCGCGCTCCCCGCGGCGCTCGCCGCTGGTGGAGCTCCCGTCGGCTTCGACTCCTGCTCGACTGCGTTGGTGCCCTTCTTCTTCTTCTGCTCTGCGAGGAACTTCCTGCACTCGCTCTTGACGTGACCTGTCTTGTGGCAGTGGAAGCATCGTTTCTCGGCCCTGTCCTTGGCCGCCTGGCTCTTCTGGTCCGTGGAGTTGTCGCCGCCCTTGCCCTTCCTGCCCTTGCCTTCCTTGCCCTTCTTTCCTTTGCCCTTCCACGCCGCCTCGCGCCTCGCCTTCTCCACCGCGCTCGTGTCCATCGGAACTGGTGGCGGCACTGCTGAGATGGCGCTCCTCGTCGAGATCACCATGTGCACTTCGTTGCGCATGAGCTCCCACGTGACTAGCCTCGACGCGTTGTGGACCAGGTGCGCTCGAAGAGCCTCGTCCTGAATCCCCCGCTGAAGGATCGCCATCTTGATCCTGTCCCCAATCCTCTCGTGGCTCTGGCTCTCGTACTTCGTGACTTTGAAGTCGAAGTCCGCCAGCATCCCCACGATGTTGTCCTCTGGGAACTGGAACGCGATCAGCTCTTGCAGCAGTCCTGCATGGCGACCTGGTCTGTCGGGCTCGTATATGTCTTGCAACGTCCTCCACGCCCGATACCCTTCTCCGACGCCGACTGGCTTGATGAGCTGTAGTGCGGCTCCTTCCAGCAGCAGGACGAGGATGAAGTACAGCTGGCGACTGCGCTGACTCGCTCCCTCCTCCAGGAGTCTCGCGTTCCTCACTTCCTCCAGCGGGAACGTCATGGCCGCCGTCAGCTCGTTGGCCATCTGCTCGTCGAGAGCTCCGAGGTATGCGAGCATCTTGAAGCTCCACCCTGGCCACTCGTCCTCGTTGCCTCCGAACGCCTTCGGCTTCGCCAGAAGCCGAGTGTCCACCAGATCCTGAGGCGCGGCCCTCGCCGCTGCCACGGGCCTGCTCGCGGCGGCGCCTGCGCTCGCTGCTGCTGACTCCGCCGCCAGGGCGCGCTCCTCTGCAGCCTGCACCCGTTGTTCTGCAGCCTGCAACGCTCCCTCGAGCGCCTGGAAGCGTCTCTCGATCTCTTCCATACTTCAGATCGAGCTTCTCGTCGAACTTCCTACTCCTCAGGATGTCTGCCTTGTTCGACCTCGAGCCACGCTTCGTCTTCTTCTTCTTCGGCGGCGTGCTGGGCTATGAAGGGCCGGCTGGCGCGGCCCTCGCCGCTGCCAGTCGCCAGGGCGCGGCCCCCGCCGCTGCCCTATCGCGGGCGCGCGCGCCCGCCGCGGGTGGCTGGAAGGGAAGCGGCAGCGGGAACGAACCCACACCGCTCCGCTACCATGTCGATGGTTTTTACTTGGACCAAGGGGCTACAGATTAGCATGTACAGTCAACACACCCCTCACGCAGATCCGCGGGGTCAGGGTCCAAAAACACAGGGGATTTGCCACATGTTTGGAATTCGGTGCCACCCCTCACGCAGATCCGCGAGGTCAGGGTCCAAAAACACAGGGGATTTGCCACATTTTTGAAATTCGGTGCCACCCCTCACGCAGATCCGCGGGGTCAGGGTCCAAAAACACACGGGATGTGCCACATTTCTGAAATCTGGCGCCACCCCTTACGCAGGTCCGCGGGGTCAAGGTCCAAAAACACGGGGGATTTGGCACATTTCTCAAATTCTATGCCACCCTTCACGCACATCCATCGCAAGGCGTGGTAACCCAAAATGCGAGAACTCCCTCGGCCCTTTAATCGAAAGGTGTGGTAACCAAGCCCGTAAACCATACACGCCTTACCAATCGCCAGGTGTGGTAACCCCTCTTGTAATCAGTTGTTTTTGCTGATTGCGAATCGGCTTCGCATGAAGTTTCGATACTGCTTTACGGCAGCGCCAAGGCCTCATGATTTAGCTCTTCCATGGCCCATTCTCCGAGAAAGGGGGCCGGCGGCAGGGGGCGAAGCCCTTGCGGCTAATAGCCGCAGTAGTAGTAGTAGTAGTAGTAGTAGTAGTAGTAGTAGTAGTAGTAGTAGTAGTAGTAGTAGTAGTAGTAGTAGTAGTAGTAGTAGTAGTAGTAGTAGTAGTAGTAGTAGTAGTAGTAGTAGTAGTAGTAGTAGTAGTAGTAGTAGTAGTAGTAGTAGTAGTAGTAGTAGTAGTAGTAGTAGTAGTAGTAGTAGTAGTAGTAGTAGTAGTAGTAGTAGTAGTAGTCGTAATCGTAGTAAGAGTAGTAAGGATCGTAGTGAAGGAAGAAGAAGTTGTAGCAGTAATACTAGCAGCCGTGGTCGTAATCGTTGTCGTAGTCATCGTCGTCGTCGTCGTTGGTGTCGTCGTCGTCGTTGCGGAAGTAGAAATAATACTATTAGTAAAGTAGTAGTAGTCGTAGCCGTGGTTGACTAGTTGCCGCAGTGGTAACGCAGTAGTAGTAGGTCGTAGCAGTAGTAGTAGTGGTTGAGTACTATCAATAGTTTCCCTACCAGTACTAGTAGTCGTCGGCGTAGTAGTAGTAGTAGTAGTAATAGTAGCCGCCGTCGTGGTAATTACATTCGTAACAGTAGTGGCAGCAGTAAGAGTAGTCGTAGTTGTAGCAGTGGGAGTAGTAGAACGAGTAGTAGAAGTCGTACTACTACTACTACTACTACTACTACTACTACTACTACTACTACTACTACTACTACTACCACTACTAATACGACTAGTACCCCTGGTGTCAGTAATCGTAAAGGTAGTAATAATCTAGGAGGAAGTACAAGTAGTAGTAGTAATCGGAATAGTGATAGTAATCGTAGTAGCCGTAGTCGTAGTAGTAGTTGTAGTAGTAGTGGTAGTAAAACTCGTGGTAGTAGTAGTAGCCGGAGTGGCCGCACTGGTAGTAGTGGTAGTAGTAGTCGTAGTAGCACTAGTGGTCGTATCAATCGAAAATAAAAGTAGTAGTAGTAGTAAAAATAGTAGTCGTCGTACAAGTCGTAGTAGTTGTAGTCGTAGTGCTAGTAATACGCATAATAATGGTAATAGCAGTAGTAACCGCAGGTCGCAGTAGTAGTAATCATGATAGTAGTGCTAGTAGTAACAGTGGTAAGCGTACTCGTAGTGGTAATCGTAAGTAGTAGTAGTAGTAATAGTAGTAGTAGTAGTAGTAGTAATAGTAGTGGTCGTACTATTGATAAGTAGTACCAAGTAGTAGGAATGATAATGGTAATAACAGAAGTAACCGTAGTCATACGAGTAGTAGTAGCCGTCGCGATAGTAATAGTAGTAATATTAGTAGGAAGTAGAAAAAGATCGTCGTAGTAACAATATTAATAGTACTGGTAATACTAATCATACTAATAATGCCAGTAGCCGTAATCATAGTAATAGTAACATCAGTCACACCAGTGGAAGTAATAAGAATCGTATGCGCCGCGCTGATACTGGAGCAGTGGTGGAAATGGCAGTATAGTAATTAGAGTAACGGTAGCAGTAGCAGTAGCACTAGCCGTAGCAACAACACTAGTTGTCGCAGAAGCAGCGGCAGCAGCACAAGTAGCAACATCATCGGCAGCAATAAGACGTCGTAGTAGTAATAGTAGTCGTGCTAGTGGGAGCAGAATTAATAATAGAAGACGTCGTAGTAGCGGAAGGAGTAGTAGTAGTTGTAGTAGTAGTAGTAGTGGTAAGTGTAGCGGCAATCGTAGCAATCGTAGAAATAGCAGGAGCCGTCTAAGTGGCAGCGTTAGCAGTAGCAGCGGAAGTAGTAGTAGTCGTCGCTGTACAAGAAGATGTCGTAAAGGTGGTAAGCATGACAATAGCGGCTGCAGGACTAGCAGTGCGAGCAGTAGTAGTAACTAGTACTAGACGTAGTAGTAGTAGTAGCAGCAGTAATAGTCGTCGTCGTCGTCGACGTCGTCGTCGTCGTCGCCGTCGTCATAGTACGACTACTGGTAATACTTTTCAGTAGTAGTAGTAGTAGTAGTAGTAGTAGTAGTAGTGGTAGTAGTAGTAATAGTAGTGGAAGTAGTAGTGGAAGTGGTAATATAAATAATAGTAGCAGTAGTAGTAGTAGTAGTAGTAGTAGTAGTAGTAGTAGTAGTAGCAGTAGTAGCAGTAGTAGTAATCCGCCGGCCCCCTTGTGGGGCCACCGGGCTGTAGGCGCGGGTTCGCAGTTTCCTGTACCAGTTGTAGCTTGTAGTTTGCAGTGTTGCAGTTCTGCTTCTTGCTGGTTACTGTATCTAGTTGATTGACCGCGCGAGGGGGGGGGAGGCCCAAACCAGATATTTAGCACCTCCTGGGCGCGTTGTCTGAATTGCTGGGGGAGCTCGAAATCGACACCCCTCACACAGATCGGCGGGGTCAGGGTCCAAAAACACAGGGTATTTGCAACATTTCTGAAATTCGGTGCCACACCATATGCAGATCCGCGGGGTCAGGGTCCAAAAACACATGGGATTCGCCACATTTCTGAAATTCGGTGCCACCCCTCACACAGATCCGCGGGGTCAGGGTCCAAAAACACAGGGGATTCGCCACATTTCTGAAATCCGGTGCCACCCCTCACGCAGATCCGCGGGGTCAGGGTCCAAAAACACAGGGGATTCGCCAGATTTCTGAAATTCGGTGCCACCCCTCACGCAGATCCGCGAGGCTGGTCTAAAAAACACAAAGGATTTGCCACATTTCTGAAATTCGGTGCCACCCTTCACGCAGATCCGCGGGGTCAGGGTAAAAAAACACATGGGATTCGCCACATTTCTGAAATTCGGTGCCACCCCTCACGCAGATCCGCGGGGTCAGGGTCCAAAAACACATGGGATTTGCCACATTTCTCTAAATTTGGTGTCACCCCTCACGCAGATCCGCGGGGTCAGGGTCCAAAAACACATGGAATTTGCCACATTTTTGAAATTCGGTGCCACCCCTCACGCAGATCCGCGGGGTCAGGGTCAAAAAACACAGGGGATTTGCCACATGTTTGGAATTCGGTGCCACCCCTCACGCAGATCCGCGAGGTCAGGGTCCAAAAACACAGGGGATTTGCCACATTTTTGAAATTCGGTGCCACCCCTCACGCAGATCCGCGGGGTCAGGGTCCAAAAACACACGGGATGTGCCACATTTCTGAAATCTGGCGCCACCCCTTACGCAGGTCCGCGGGGTCAAGGTCCAAAAACACGGGGGATTTGGCACATTTCTCAAATTCTATGCCACCCTTCATGCACATCCATCGCAAGGCGTGGTAACCCAAAATGCGAGAACTCCCTCGGCCCTTTAATCGAAAGGTGTGGTAACCAAGCCCGTAAACCATACACGTCTTACCAATCGCCAGGTGTGGTAACCCCTCTTGTAATCAGTTGGTTTTGCTGATTGCGAATCGGCTTCGCATGAAGTTTCGATACTGCTTTACGACAGCGCCAAGGCCTCATGATTTAGCTCTTCCATGGCCCATTCTCCGAGAAAGGGGGCCGGCGGCAGGGGGCGAAGCCCTTGCGGCTAATAGCCGCAGTAGTAGTAGTAGTAGTAGCAGCAGTAGTAGTAGTAGTAGTAGTAGTAGTAGTAGTAGTCGTAGTAGTAGTAGTAGTAGTAGTAGTAGTAGTAGTAGTAGTGGTAGTAGTAGTAGTAGTAGTAATACTAGTAGTAGTCGTAGTATCGGTAGTAGTAGTAGTAGTAGTAGTAGTAGTAGTCGTAATCGTAGTAGGAGTAGTAAGGATCGTAGTGAAGGAAGAAGAAGTTGTAGCAGTAATACTAGTAGCCGTGGTCGTAATCGTTGTCGTAGTCATCGTCGTCGTCGTCGTTGGTGTCGTCGTCGTCGTTGTGGAAGTAGAAATAATACTATTAGTAAACTAGTAGTAGTCGTAGCCGTGGTTGACTAGTTGCCGCAGTGGTAACGCAGTAGTAGTAGGTCGTAGCAGTAGTAGTAGTGGTTGAGTACTATCAATAGTTTCCCTACCAGTACTAGTAGTCGTCGGCGTAGTAGTAGTAGTAGTAGTCGTAGTAGTAGTAGTAGTAGTAGTAGTAGTAGTAGTGGGAGTAGTAGTAGTAATAGCATGGGAAAAGAAAGTAACACCAGTAACAATGGTCCTAGGAAGTAACGTATTGTCCTGGTAAGAGTAGTAGTAGTACTTTTAGTAGCCGTGGTAGTCGTAGCAGCAGCAGCAGCAAGAACAGCAGTAGTAGTGGCAGTCGTAATAGCAAAGGAGGTCGTAGTAGTAGTAGTAGTAGTAGTAGTAGTAGTAGTAGTTGTAGTAGCAGTAGTAGTGGTAGTAGTAGTAGTAGTAGTAGTAGTAGTAGTAGTAGTAGTAGTAGTGGTAGTAGTAGTAGTAAGAGTACTAGTAGTAGTAGTAGTAGTAGTAGTAGTAGTAGTAGTAGTGATCGTAATAGAAATAGCCGCCGTCGTGGTAATTACATTCGTAACAGTAGTGGCAGCAGTAAGAGTAGTCGTAGTTGTAGCAGTGGGAGTAGTAGAGCGAGTAGTAGAAGTCGTACTACTACTACTACTACTACTACTACTACTACTACTACCACTACTAATACGACTACTACCCCTGGTGTCAGTAATCGTAAAGGTAGTAATAATCTAGGAGGAAGTACAAGTAGTAGTAGTAATCGGAATAGTGATAGTAATCGTAGTAGCCGTAGTCGTAGTAGTAGTTGTAGTAGTAGTGGTAGTAAAACTCGTGGTAGTAGTAGTAGCCGGAGTGGCCGCACTGGTAGTAGTGGTAGTAGTAGTCGTAGTAGCACTAGTGGTCGTATCAATCGAAAATAAAAGTAGTAGTAGTAGTAAAAATAGTAGTCGTCGTACAAGTCGTAGTAGTTGTAGTCGTAGTGCTAGTAATACACATAATAATGGTAATAGCAGTAGTAACCGCAGGTCGCAGTAGTAGTAATCATGATAGTAGTGCTAGTAGTAACAGTGGTAAGCGTACTCGTAGTGGTAATCGTAAGTAGTAGTAGTAATAGTAGTAGTAGTAGTAGTAGTAATAGTAGTGGTCGTACTATTGATAAGTAGTACCAAGTAGTAGGAATGATAATGGTAATAACAGCAGTAACCGTAGTCATACGAGTAGTAGTAGCCGTCGCGATAGTAATAGTAGTAATATTAGTAGGAAGTAGAAAAAGATCGTCGTAGTAACAATATTAATAGTACTGGTAATACTAATCATACTAATAATGCCAGTAGCCGTAATCATAGTAATAGTAACATCAGTCACACCAGTGGAAGTAATAAGAATCGTATGCACCGCGCTGATACTGGAGCAGTGGTGGAAGTGGCAGTATAGTAATTAGAGTAACGGTAGCAGTAGCAGTAGCACTAGCCGTAGCAACAACACTAGTTGTCGCAGAAGCAGCGGCAGCAGCACAAGTAGCAACATCATCGGCAACAATAAGACGTCGTAGTAGTAATAGTAGTCGTGCTAGTGGGAGCAGAATTAATAATAGAAGACGTCGTAGTAGCGGAAGGAGTAGTAGTAGTTGTAGTAGTAGCAGTAGTGGTAAGTGTAGCGGCAATCGTAGCAATCGTAGAAATAGCAGTAGCCGTCTAAGTGGCAGCGTTAGCAGTAGCAGCGGAAGTAGTAGTAGTCGTCGCTGTACAAGAAGATGTCGTAAAGGTGGTAAGCATGACAATAGCGGCTGCAGGACTAGCAGTGCGAGCAGTAGTAGTAACTAGTACTAGACGTAGTAGTAGTAGTAGCAGCAGTAATAATCGTCGTCGTCGTCGTCGACGTCGTCGTCGTCGCCGTCGTCATAGTACGACTACTGGTAATACTTTTCGTGGTGCGAATAATGACGACAATATCAAACGTACTCGTAATACTACGTGTTGTAGTAACCGTCGTCGTCGCCAAAGAAATAGTCGTAGTACAAGTATAAGTTGTAGTAGTAGCCGCCGTAGTAATAGTAATCGTAGTCGTAGTAGCCGTTGGGAGCGTAGTGGTCGTAATAAAATAAAAAGGCGGTAAGAGTAGTAGTAGTAATCGTTGTAATAGCGTAATAGTGCAAGGAGAAGTAATAGTAATCATGGTAAAAGTAATAGTCGTTGTCGCCGTTGTAAGCATAAACTTGTAGCCGTGGTCGTAGTAGCGGTAGTCGTCGGAATCGCCCAAGTTTTCGTTGTATGGGTTGTAGTGAGAGTAGCCGTAGTAGTAGTAGTAGTAGTAGTCGTAGTAGTAGTAGTAGTCGTAACAATAATATGAACCGTGGTCGTAGCCGTAGCCGTGACAACAGTAATCGTGGTAGTCGTAACAGCTGTAGTAGTCGTAGTAGTAGTAGTAGTAGTAGTAGAAGTAGTAGTAGGAATAGTAGTAGTAGTAGTAGTAGTAGTAGTAGTAGTGGTAGTAGTAGTAGTAGTAGTAGTAGTAAAAGTAGTAGTAGTACTAGTAATATTAGTAGTAGTAGTAATAGTAGTAGTAGTAGTAGTGGTAGTAGTAGTAGTCGTAGTAGTAGTATGGGTGGTACTCGTCCTGGTAGTAGTAGTAGTGGTAGTGGTAGTTGTTGTAGTAGTAGTAGTAGTAGTAGTGGTAGTGGTAGTGGTAGTGGTAGTAGTGGTAGTAGTAGTAGTAGTAGTAGTAGTAGTAGTAGTAGTAGTAGTAGTAGTAGTAGTAGTAGTAGTAGTAGTAGTAGTAGTAGTAGTAGTAGTAGTAGTCGTAGTAGTAGTAGTAGTAGTAGTAGTAGTAGTAGTAGTAGTAGTAGTAGTAGTAGTAGTAGTAGTAGTAGTAGTAGTAGTAGTAGTAGTAGCAGTAGTAGTAGTAGTAGTAGTAGTAGTAGTAGTAGTAGTAGTAGTAGTAGTAGTAGTAGTAGTAGTAGTAGTAGTAGTAGTAGTAGTAGTAGTAGTAGTAGTAGTAGTAGTAGTAGTAGTAGTAGTAGTAGTAGTAGTAGTAGTAGTAGTAGTAGTAGTAGTAGTAGTAGTAGTAGTAGTAGTAGTAGTAGTCAAAGTAGTAGTAGTAGTAGTAGTCGTCGTTGTCGTCGTCGTCGTCGTAGTCGTAGTATCGGTGGTGCTGGTGGTAGTGTACTACTACTAAGTGGTGGTGGGACGACGAGGAGTAGTAGTAGTAGTGGTAGTGATAGTGGTGGTGGTGGTTGTAGGAAGAAGCGGAGGAGGAGGAGGAGACTGAGGAGGAGGCCACGGGAGAGGAGCAGGAGGAGCAGGAGGAGGAGGTTTTAGGACCAGTCCTATTCACCGCCGCAGTTTGACAGAGGGGGACTAATACCAAAGACCTTGTGGAGGCTACACCCTTTCACGAGTGCACACCTAACCCCCACCTTACCCAAGCAAACTCTTAACCATAATCCCCCCACCATCTCAACCATGCAATGTGCACTGTGCAGCGAAATCTTGATATCATGTCTGGGCACCAAGCGATCTCTCTGCGATTCGTTGACGTGCGGCGTGAAAAACGGCGGGCCTTCTCAGAAGGCTCGGATCCTCTGGCCTTCTAAGACGTGCTCTGAGCTTTCCCCGAAGGCATATCACACTTCTCAGAGCGCGCAGAAGGGTTTCTGAGATCCCCCGCCACCCAGTGACAAGACCGTCTTCTTCTTACTCCCCCCCCCTCGGCCGCCGCCAATCAATCTTCGATGACCGATGGCTGCTACTGCCCCTGGCGAGCGAAGGGTGTAGAGTTAAGTGGGGCCTGTCCCCCCTACAGGGAGATTTTCGACGAAAAATAAAGAATAGACAAAACATGCTCCAATATGGTAACAGAAATACTCAACACATAATCCCCAGCCTATTTTTCTTCTACTGCTTTTGAATAATCCCCCTGCAGAGGACAGGCCCGACTTCAGTGCAGAAGGCGCGCGCGGCGAGCTGGCGCGCCAGAGCCCGCCAGGGCAGCGGCGGCGGCCGCCGCCGCCGCGTCGAGGCTGCCGCCCTGGAGCGCCCGGGGCGGACCAAAGACACGAGCGACACCACCGCAGCTGCTTGGAGGCATGGAAATTGGCACCCACACCAACACAAGGCGTTGCCTCCACAGGTCGCTACACGCAAGAGTGACCCTGGGTAAGAGTGACCTTTGGTGCGCGGCTTTTTGGGGGCCGCGGGGGGACCAAACACAAGCGCGCAAGACGCTACCACCGCATCGCGTTCGGCGATCGGGGGACCCCATTCGGCCCGCACCAAAGGTCACTCCGGCGAAAGGTCACTCTTACGTCTAGTCGAACAGGAGGAATATGATCCTAGATTTCGGTGCTGGTGGTGATACTTAGGTCACCTTGGCAGCCAAAATATCACCACCATCACCGAGATCGGGATCGTCTTCCCTCGGTGGAGGTACACCGCCGATCTGAGTGTTGGTGTCAACCTCTATAGGCCTGCGATCTACGGTCTCGGTCCCACGGGCCTGAACGTATACAATACACGTCGGTCGGACGAAGCAGGTGAAAACATATGAAGTAGGAAGGCGGATCAAGTTGAGTGGGTCCAGGCCCCCCCCAGGGAACAACCAACAACAGCAAAAGCGTGCCGATTCTTGAAATAGAAAAGCGCTTGAAGTAGATTGGGATCTGGGAATCCAGAAATACCTACTTTCAACGACCGGCGTGTATACAATAAAATCCACCTTGGCTGTTCGCGTAATGTACAACTCGACCCCCGATGGTCCTTAGCGCAACATAAAAAGGCCGTAATAGGTGAGGTGGTGTCGTTTGCGGATTTGTCGACGACGCGCGGGGGGGGGGGCGGGCGTGGGGAAGAAGCGGGCCGAAGACGATCGATAACCCTCGGAATCAAAACGAGTGTCACAACCAGGGTGCGGGGTGTGCGCGTGCAGAACCGAAGAAGCCTCTCCGGGCGACGCAGGCGGCGCAGGCGGCGCCACAAGGCCCGACACAAGCCGCGCGCAAATGATAAAAAAGCAACAGCACGCTCGCATGCACGCAAATGAAGGGGACCTGGGACAAACAATAAGTACACACAAATAAAGGAGCTCCCCATCTTTTCCCACATTTTCTGGATCTTCGTCTTCCCCCCCCCTTCCCATATTTTCCCGTAGTTTCCGGGGGATCGACGATGAATTGTGTCCGTGTGTTTTTCCCCCTCCTGAGCAAACACATACACACAGCACACAACTCTCGGGCTGGGCGAAAGGGGGTGGTAGAAAAGGGGGGGTTCGAGAATCAGCTCACGTAGCTGATTTTCCCGGCGCCTCCCGGCGCCGGAGGCGGCCATGTATCGAGGAATGGGCCCCTCGGTGGGGCCGAAACCAGCTGCATGCAGCAAATTTCGTACCCCCCCCCTTTCCCTATCCCCCCCTTTCGTCCGGCCCGAAACACGCAGCGCACACACAACACACACACACAGACATCCGCCGCAACACGGCAAATAGACACACCCGCACGGGCGCTCGCTCGCCGTCGGGAGCGCTCGGCGAACACATGGCCCGGATGCCCAAAAAGAGGTCGCGGAGAGCCAGGGAGGCCCCGGAGAGAGCGGAGAGGGAGGATCGGGCCGGGCGAAAGGGGGGATTAGCAAAAAGGCGGGCTCGAGAAACAGCTCACCCAGCTGATCTTCCCGGCGCCTCCCGGCGCTGGGAGGCGGCCATGCATCGAGGAATGGGCCCCTCGGTGGGGCCGAAACCAGCTGCATGCAGCAGATTTCGTAGCCCCCCTTTTCCCAATGCCCCCCTTTCGTCCGGCCCGAGAAGAGGACACTCACAAGTAAAATAATTCCACGGCGAGCGCGCCAATGCGGCCGGCCAAGGCTGCGGTGCCAGGGCAATGGGCGCGGGCCGGCATCACGGCCACATCCGAAGACCTCAGTCAAGCCTGCAAGCGCTGAGTGCGTGAGGAAGGAGCTAGCAGTACGCCAATACAACGACCTAGGAAGCTGCTAGGCACAAGTGCTACATTCGGTTGTTCGTCACAAGGCCGAACTGTGTCGAGCTTTGCCGCACCGGGCCCGGCGTCTGCTGGATGTGAGGCCAAGGCCGGGTCCAAGCGGCAGCGTGCGGTGACCACGCGGGGCTGCACCGAGGTGGGCGCCTGCAACGAGCAAAATGCTGACATCCGACTCGTCATCATGACGCTGACGTTAGTCGTAGCTGCATCAGCTGATGCAAGATGCTTCTGCCAGGTCCAGGCGGCGGCTGCAGCGTCTGGGGCGCCGTGGGTGGCGCACTCGACCAACGCACTCTCGACCAGCACACGTCCTGATGGGCATCGAGGTGAAGAAGACAAGGAGGCAGTGTAGATAGACAAAGGAAACAAGATCCGCTGACCTACATTTTCGGAGGTACGCGCCGATCTCTTAGCGCTCGGAGCGCGCCAACGGCGAGACGGGTGGCGCCGCAAAGGGACCTCCAGCGCAAATCCGAGAGAGATCCAGGCGGGCCTCCAAACGCCTGTGGTCAAGTCTTTTCTGCTCGTACAGACGAAATGGCGATGCACGGATCGCACGGCCACCGACAGCCTGAGTCAGAGGGAAAAGAAGGGCAGCTCATGCGCGATCGTCTGTGCGAACGACCCATTTGTTCGAGTCGCTGTTGGCGTCGCACGGCAGATAACGATCGGCGGCGAACATCTCATACCTCCTCGTGGCATCCGATGTATTTGCCCGTTGTCGTCGCCACGGCTGGACGCAGCTCAAGCGAAGATGGATCGTGACGTCCCCTGCCCCCTGCCAGGGAGCGACGGACCGTGACGTCCCTCGCCCCAGGACGAGGGAGGAGCAAGGACAAGGGAGGAGAGACAAGGGAGGAGGGACGATGGCATGGAGGAGGTCGGCCACGCGCTTGGTCACGATCGATCCGGCCCGGGTCGAGACCCTCTGCTCCGATGGAAGTCATGACGCAAACGGAAACACGCCCCCGAGTCCGCGAAGAAAGGGGATCTCGGGCTGGGCGAGAGGGGGGGATAGCAAAAAGGGGGGCTTGAGAAACAGCTCACGCAACTGCTTTTCCCGGCGCCTCCTGGCGCTGGGAGGCGGCCATGCATCGAGGAATGGGCCCCTTCGGTTGGGCTCAAACCAGCTGCATGCAGCAGATTTCGTAACCCCCCTTTTCCCAATCCCCCCTTCGTCTGGCCCGAAGATCCCAGGACTTGAGCAGGGACCGACCGTCCCGGCATTCCTATAGTCCTACCACGACATGTTCTTACAACCCAAATCTGTCCGAATCATAAAAACTATGTTGTCAGAACATAAACTCAGTGTGATGAAACAAGACAGACTCCGCCAGAAATGTTCTAAGAACATTTCGTGGAAACCACAAAAGGTTATTAGAACATTGTTTGGTAGGGCTATAGGCGAGCCAGGACGCTTCGCCACTGCTTGAAGGACAATGCCCACCTATTCCATCTCAAGCCCGCGTGGGGTGAGCCCATCCGGAAAGTTGTTCTTTCTAGAGGGCGCGCCGCTGGAAGGCCCAATGGGGAGGGGGGGCGAGGAGGCGTGTCGGACCGATCCCAAACGACAGGTAGTTACCCATTGGCCTGGCCACTTCTCATCTGGCCCAAAGCCCGACTGTTGCCAATTACAACCAGCCGTCTGGAGCCGACAACAGGATTCCAAGCGGCCATCTGGAGCCTCTCGTTCGGCCCGAGCTTCGGACCACCACGGCGACGACCACAACGGGGATGACGACGGTCACCGTTACTACAGTCAAAAACCCTAATAAGGACGTGCGGTAAGGACGCAAGACTCTTGGAAGCCGAAGTTGGGAGGTTGGGGCGGCGGACGACGAACACCCCAAGGACGCAAGAGCAAGGTAGAGCAGGGACGCAAGGGTACCCCGAGCAAAGTCGCGCGTCCTTCTTGAGGCTTTTGACTGTACGATTATGTCGGGCGTGTCCCCCCACAGGCGGATTTTCGATGAAAAATTAAAAATACCCCCAACAATACAAAAAACAAAAGAATACTCAAAACGTCGTCCCCCGACTTTTTCATTTTGGGTGTATGTTTGGTTATTTTTTTTGTTGCGTCGAAATTCCCTCTGTAGGGGGACATGCCCGACTTCACTGTACGACGACGACGACGCGACGACGACGACGACGACGATGTCTCGGGTCGGGCGAAAGGGGGGGATAGCAAAGGGGGGGTTTGAGAATCAGCTCACGTAGCTGCTTTCCCCGGCGCCTCCCGGCGCCGGAGGCGGCCATGCATCGAGGAAGGGGCCCCTCGGTGGGGCCGAAACCAGCTGCATATGCACCAGATTTCGTACCCCCCCCCTCTCCCAATCCCCCCCTTTCGCCCGGCCCGAAAGGTAGAGCAGGGACGCAAGGGCACCCTGAGCAACGTCGCGCGTCCTTGTTAGGGCTTTTTACAGTACGACGACGACGACGACGACGACGACGTCGGCGAGGCGGAGCCAGCGGCCCAGGCCCCTTCAGGGGACGGGCCCCGGGCGGGGCGGGGCGGTCCCCGCAGGCGCGGCGGCGGAGCGACACGCCCGGGGGGCCCGCCGGGGCGTGCGGCCGGGAGGCGGCGGCCGCGGCCTCTCCCGGGGGGGGGCCGCGCGGCGGCGCGCGCACGACGAGCGTGCGGGGGCCGGCGGGGGGGGGAGGCCTCCGGGGGCCTCGAGGCGGGAGGAGGCAAGTAGCTGCTGCTCCTCCTCCCCCTCCTCCCCCCCCCTCCTTCTCCCCCCCTCCTCCTCCCCTCCTCCTCCTCCTCCTCCTCCTCCGCCTCCTCCTCCTCCTCCTCCTCCTCCTCCTCCTCCTCCTCCTCCTCTCCCCCCCCCCCCTCCTCCTCCTCCTCCTCCTCCTCCTCCTCCTCCTCCTCCTCCTCCTCCTCCTCCTCCTCCTCCTCCTCCTCCTCCTCCTCCTCCGCCTCCGCCTCCTCCGCCTCCGCCTCAGCTCCTCCTCCTCCTCCTCCTCCTCCTCCTCCTCCTCCTCCTCCTCCTCCTGTCCTCCTCCCTCCGCCATCACCAATATTCTGACAATCCTGCTCGTCATCTTACTCCCCTCCCCCTCCTGCCCATCATCATCCTATTCTCCTGCCCTCCGCCATCGTCATCGCCACCATCCTGCTACCCTTCCGACATCATTACCACCCCCCACCCCTGGCGGCGAGCACAAGGGTGTAGGGGAAGGGGGGAAGGCAGCTTAGAAGGAGGCTGCTTATGAGAAGCATTCCCCCCTCCCATGAATGACCCTGCTCTGCGCGTGGCCCTGGTCTCTTTGGCTGTGAGATGCACCCGGACCTCCAACGTATTGAAAGAAGAGAAGCTCAATGCGGAGTTCCCCCTGTCTCTGGGGGGGGGCCGTCGCTTGGCCCCAAGTCCGTCAACAAAAACTACTGTGGATGAGAAGCCCGTCCTTGGGAAAGGCCTCGTTGACTCTAATCTGCATCCAGATCTCTGACGATCTGATTTGTTCAATCTTGGCGGAATTTCGTCGATATCGGCCCCAGGGAGTAATGTCGGGACCCCGAGAAGATCAAGAACGGCCATGGGGAAAAGGCCCGGATCTTTCCAGAACTCCTGCGCTCTCATTTCCCGCTGCGTGGACCCCAGAGGGTCTTCCTCAGTTCCAGGGCCGGCTTCTCATCTTGAGTCGTTCTCTTGACCTTTTCAGGGCCCCGTAGACCCGGACACGCTAGACCCGGACACCCAATATCCCTCGAAACCAATTTTTTCAAACGGCGGCACGAACAAAATACTACACTGCAGCATTTCCAGAATAAACCCGGACACAGGCCCCAAAAGCCTGCAAGACCCCCCTTAACCTGGACACACACCCGAATCCTGCAGTGCAGCAAACAAAAAATGCACGGGTGCTAACACAAACGTGACTCTGCAGGAAAGGATGTCGTTTCCTTGACTTTCCGTGTCCTGATTTATCTGTGTCCTGGTCTCTGGGGGCCTGACCTTTTCCGGGGGCCATGCACTCGGAAGCTGAAAATAGCCAAAAAGTGTGAGGTCGTGCCGTGCACGTCCCGTTCGGCACCGCCTGATCCCCGGGCCCTGCCCGCTCCTGGCCGCGTGAGGCCTCGCCTGCCCTCGGCCCCTTTCTGTCAATCAAAGCCGCGCGCGTCCCGCGGAGCTTTTAGCGGAAGAGGCTCGCTCTCGCCCTGCAGATCCAAAAAAAAAGTGTGAGGGCGTGCCGACAAGAGAACTCCCGCCACGCGGGCGCTGCTTCTGGGGCACTCGCTTGCGATCCCAAGGGGGCCGCGACACGTGCGCCGGGTGTCTCGACATGGACCCACGGAGTGCAGAGACAAGGACGAGAGGAGGAAGGGCTGGGGAGGAGGAACTCGCCATCGCTCGGACGTCCATTCCTCGTGTATGTTTCGATGTCGTGCGCGTTGTTTTTTCGCCAAATGATCAAGGATGGTCCTCGATGGCCGTCGCCGAGAAAAAATGCACACGTCCGAGCGATGCCAAGGGAATGAGTGGGTGAGACGCTGGGCGCGGTCTCTCCAAAAAAAACAGGACCCAACGCCACAAGGTGGCTGGGAACAAAGACATATAACGAACCTCGCCCCCAAATGTCCACCTCCCGGGAGGAGCAACGGCTACGACCGCCCTCCCCTGTCTGGCAGACGGGTCGCTGCCCTCGAGATGCGGAGGGCCCTCGCCCCCCCCTCGGCCACTGAAAGGTCCTTCACACAGTCGATCCTCCTCCTCCTTCTCCTTTCCTCACCAATCCGCTTTACGGAAGAGTGCCTCTAGGCAAGAGTGACCCTTGGCGAGCGGCTCAAGGGGGGCCCTTCGGGGACACCACCAGGCGCGCAAGCCGCTACTGGTCGCATCGCATTCAGCGATCGGCGGATCCCACTGGGCTTGCACTGAAGGTCGCTCCGGCGAAAGGCCACTCTCACGAGTAGCCGAACCAAATGCCCCTGCTCAGGTGCGCCGCCGAGTTTGGTCTCTGGCGACCGTTCGGAAAGATCCGAGCACCCCCAGAACACCCTCGGCGAGGCGCAGCTGCTGGCGAGCATCCCGAGGCTGGAACCCCGCCGAGAACCGAGGAAAACGTCCGAAGACCTCGGACCTCGAACCCCGAAACTCCCCCCCTCGCTCGCCGACGTGTTCCTCCCACGTGGGACGATCAGTGCACAGGAAGCATGTTGCCAAATAATCTCCAGATGTCTCAAACGTGTGCTGAACATGTCTTAAACATGTAAGAAAGCATGTCCAAAACATGCTTAGCACATGTCTCCGACACTTTTAAGCACATTTTCTACGTTCAGTGATAGGACTGTTAGGGTGTCCATCGTCGTGGCATCCACAACACCACCACCCGCCCGAGCTGCCCCCAGGGATCTTCTGACCCGGGTCAATCCAGACCCGGGTCAGCAGGAAACCAGAAACTGCAATGCAGGAAAAACAAAAACTGCAACGCAGGTCTGCGCAAACCCGGGTCAGCCAATAGGCGCGGCCGCCTCGCGGTCACGAGCGGCTCGCTGACCCGGGTCAGCCAGAAGGGGTCGTCGCAGGATCCTGCAGGATCCGGCGCCCTGGCTGACCCCCGTCTGCACTGACCCCCGTCTCGAGGCTCCCGCTGCCCGCTGGCGCGCTGCCTCCCTTTAGTGAAAACGGCCTGGGACCGAAACCGACGGACCTGGACCCTCAAAGATGACGGCCGCGACGCCCTCTCGCGAACCGAAAACGGCCAATTCGCTACTCGAAGAGGAGGAGGAGGAGGAGGAGGAGGAGGAGGAGGAGGAGGAGGAGGAGGAGGAGGAGGAGGAGGAGGAGGGAGGAGGAGGAGGAGGAGTTAGGAGGAGGAGGAGGAGGAGGAGGAGGAGAGGAGGAGGAGGAGGAGGAGGAGGAGGAGGAGGAGGAGGAGGAGGCTCCCGAGCTCCCCCGGCGCGGCGCGCCTCCCGGCCCTCATCGCGCATCCGCTCCCCGCGCCGCGCATGGGGGCCGAGGCGGGGCTGCCCCCCTCGAGCCCTTCGGGAGAGGGGGGCCACCGAGGGGCGGCGCGCCCCGCAGCCGTGCGGCGCCCGGTGCGCGCCGTGGCACTCTCGGAGGACGGCACCGCGCGGCCCCGCGTCCTGCCGCTGCTCCCCCTCTCCTCCTCCTCCTCTCCTCCTCCTCCTCTCTCCTCCTCTCCTCCTCCTCTTCCTCCTTCCTTGTCCTGCTGCCCCCTCCTCCTCCTCCTCCTCCTCCTCCTCCCCTCGTCTTTCCCTCCCTGTCCCCTCCTCCTCCTCCTCCTCTCCTCCTCCTCCTCCTCCTCCTCCTCCTCTCTCCTCCTCCTCCTCCCTCCTCGTCCTCCTGGTCCTCCTTGTCCTCTTCCTCCTCCTCCTCCCCCTCGTCCAACTTGTCCTCCTCCTCCTCCTCCTCCTCCTCCTCCTCTTCTCCTCCTCCTCTCCCTCTTCCTCCCACTCCTCTTCCTCCGCCTCTTCTTCTTCCTCCTCCTCCTCATCATCATCATCACTCCTCCCCCGATCCTGATCCGTCCACTGCCCCGCCCTCCCCCCCTCCCTTCCCTAAGACGAGGCCAGGGCCAGGACTCAATCGGACGGGAAGACGTCGGGCACTCCCGAGATCCGGGCGCCGCGGCTTCCTCCGAGCGTTCTCGAGCGTCCTAGCCCCCCTGCCCGATTCTCATCCCCCTCCTTCTACCACGCTGCGTTCCACGGCACTCTCCCGTCGCGCCGCTCGCGGGGCGGCCGCGCGAGGCCGCCAGCTGGGCGCGGCGGCGTCGGACCCACGCTGGAGCGCGACTCTTACAGAGGAGGAGGGGGCGCGAGAGAGGGGGGGGAAACCTCTCTCAGATCCCTCCCCCTCCCATCAGCTCCTCCTCCTCCTCCCGCATTCTCCTCGTCCTCATCCCGCCTTCTCTCATGAGTTCCCCATCCGCCTCCTCCTCCTCCTCCTCACCACCACCATCTTCCTCTTCCTCAACCTCCTCCTCCTCCTCCTGCGACTCCTCCTCCTCTCCCTCCTCCTCCTCCTCCTCCTCCTCACCCTCTTCCTCCTCCTCCTCCTCCAACTCCTCCTCGTCCTCATCCACCTCCTCCTTTTGCGAGGAGTCCGCCCCCCCTTCCTCTTCCTTCTTCTCCTCCTCCTCCTCCTCTTCCTCCTTCTCCTCCTCCCGCCATCTCCCATGAGTTCCCCATCCTTCTCCTCCTCCTCCTCATCCTCCTCCTGCTCCTCCTCCTCCTCCTTCTCCTCTGCAAGGCCACAGTCGATCCTCCTCCTCCTCCTCCCCTCCTCCTCCAATTCATCCTCTTCCTTCTCGTCACCCTCTGCATCCTCGTCCTCCAACTCCTCCTCCTCCTCCTTCTCCACCTCCTCCTCCTCCCTCCTCCAACTCATCCTTTCCTCTCCTCTCTTGTCCTGTCCTCATCCCCTCCTCACCCTCACCATCAGCATCACAATCATTACCAGCATCATTGGCAATATCATCATCAGCATCAGCATCGACATCATCATCCTGTTCACCATCGTAATCATCATCACCAGCAACATCAGCATCATCATCAGCAGCATCGTCAGCATCACCATCATCACCATCACCATCACCATCACCATCACCATCACCATCATCATCATCATCATCATCATCATCATCAGCATCAGCATCAGCATCAGCATCATCATCATCATCATCATCATCATCATTACAACCACCACCAGCATCGGCATCGTCAACATCATCAGCACCATCAGCATCATCATCAGCAGCATCATCAGCATCGTCATCAGCATGAGAATCAGCAGCATCATCAGTATCAGCAGCAGCATCATCATCATCAGCATCAGCATAACCAGCAGCAGCAGTCATAATCGTCATCGGCATCATCATCGCCATCAGGATCACCATCAGCATCATGAGCATCATCATCTTCAGCAGCATCAGCATACTCATAAACAGCATCAGCAGTATCATCACCATCACCATCGCCACCATAATCAATACCATCGGCAGCAGCAACTGCAGCAGCAGCGTCATCATCATCCGCAGCTTCATCGTTCTCATTTTCATCAGCATCAACAGAAACAGCATAGTCGTCATCATCAGCCGCAGCACCATCATCAATTGCATCATCGCCATCGTCATCGATATTGTCATCGTCATCATCAGCAGCAGCATCAGCATCATCATCACCACCACCAATATCATCAGCAGTACCACCAGCAACACCAGCATTGACATCATCATAAGCAACGGTCGTACCAGCAGCCGAAACAACATCGCCATGATCAGCATGAGCCTCATAGTCAGCCGCAACATCATAAGTCGCATCAGCATACGTATCAGCACTATCAGCAACGTACTCATCATCATCGGCATCATACTCATCAGCATCATCATCACCACCATCGCCATGGCCATAAGCACCATCCTCTTCATTACCATCATAATCAGTAGCAGCATCATCACCATCATCATACCCAACTCATCATCAACGTCATAATCCTCATCATCACCACCACCATTATCCCCGTCATCAACATCTACATCATCCCCGCCGTCGCCGTCATCACATCACCATCAGCATCAATATCATCAACAATATCATCACACAGAGTCCCCACCCACGACACCGCGGTTGTGATACGTCGGATTCCTGGCTGACACAACTCGCGAACTTGCCGTGCGAATTCTGGCATCACACATCCCATGATGTCGCGACGTGCCGCCTATCGTAACTTGGGAACGGCATGGCGTACGGATTTGCTGAACATCTTATACTGGCGCTCCGAGCGGCCAATAACGAACACAACGTTTGCGAAGGTGTTCTGCTCTGGCTGGCACGCTGGGCGGTGGCGCAAGCTTGCTGAGAGAAAAAGCTCCACCCCTATGCCGTGCTCCATGCCTCCCGCCTCCATCCTCCTACCCTTTTGCCCTCCATGCTCACCGTCTCTTCTGTGCTCTCGTCCTCTGTCTCCCCTCTTCCAGTCCCGTCTCCCCCTCCTCCCTCTTCTTGAACCTCCCTCCCCCTCATGCCTCCAGCCTCCGCCCCCCTCGTACCTCGCTCGCGCAGTTCCCTCCTCCTCTGCCGCTCCTCGAGCCACTCCGATCCCAGAAATGCACCTGGAGCTCCGAAAGTTTATAGTTATAGAATTGCTTCTTATTATTATCATTATTATTATTCTTCTATCTCCTCCGTCCTCCCCCCAGGAGAGCCCAGAATCGAATCGATAAGTAGGATCGGCAATCGAAATACATCGGATCGGAGGCAATCGGCAGCCTGGTGTGGCAAAGTCGAATCGGCGGAAATCGACAAGCCAGTAAGCCTCCATGGAGACATCGGAGCTCAAATCGGACTCCGAGGTAGCATCGGGTCGGCATCGGAAGCCGTCAACATCGAATCGAATCGAATCGGAGGAGCCGAGAGGAGCACTCCCCCCCCCTGGGAAATCAAAAGGCACGGACACCGCTAGCCCCCGGACCTCTCCAGGGATGCGTCCTGACCAGAATCTCGAGGCGAATCCAGCGGATGCGACGAGGGTTTCCCAGGAAGCTCAAGGATTGAGCAGGGACCGACCGTCCCGGCATTCCTATAGTCCTAACAGTGTTCTTAGAACATAAACCCGATGTGATAAAACAAGACAGTCCCAACCATAATGTTTTAAAAACATTTCGTGGGAACCACAAGCGGGTCCTTAGAACATTGTTTGGTAGGACTATAGGCACGCCAGGACGCTTCGCCACTGCTTGAAAAGGAGGGGAAAAAGGGCGAAGATAGATTTATGATTAAGTCGGGCGCGTCACCCTACAGGAGAATATTGGGCGAAAAATGCAACATTGGCAAACATAGCCCAGAAAAATCGTCTCAGACTGTTCTTGGACTATTCTTGAACATTCCTCCTGTAGACGGACCAACCCGACTTCAAGTTATGAAAACATGTTCCTCCTCGAACCCCCGCCCTCCCGACTCCGAAGAGGAGGAGGCAGGAGGAGGAGGAGGAGGAGGGGGAGGAGGAGGAGGAGGAGGAGGAGGAGGAGAATGGGGGAGGAGGCGGAGGAAGAGGAGTGGGAGGAAGAGGGAGAGGACGAGGAGGAGGAGGACGAGGAGGAGGAGGAGAAGGAGGATATTCCTCCTCTGACCCCCGCCCTCCCGACTCCGAAAAGTCCGTGCCGCGGTGCGCCCCTCGTCGAACCGCGCCTCGCCTGCGCCGTCGTCGCGCCCCCCGCCGCCGTCGCCGCTGCGGTCGTGGCGGGCGTGCTGCTCTGCTCGCCGCTGACAAGCGTGGAGGGGGAGGGGGAGGAATAACGGGAGGAGGAGGAGGAGGAGGAGGAAAAGAAGGAGGAGGAGGAGAACGAGGATCGGCCCACCGAGGGGGCGCGGTCGTGTGACCGAGCCTTCTACTTCGGGCGTGCACGCTTGGCTTTGCCTGCTTTAAAAAGGCTTGATGGGGTCCCCAGAGGGCCAAATCTTGGCCGAAACATTCGGTGGCTGGCAATTCGCTAACCTACGCAACGCCTCCCGTCCACTGTCAGTGCCCACACCACCTGGACAAGGGACGGGGAATTGGTTGAGCCTACCACCTCCAGTGCTCGTGCAGCTGCCGAGCCTCGCGCACATCGTACACCAAAGCTGACCATTCATAATTAGCATCGAATGGGTCGGGTGTATGATCTTACCTCCAACTGTAAGTGAGGGGTACGCAGAGGGCGGGATGGGCAGGGGCACGTTATAACAAGAAACAAACGCTCTACCTTTGCACGGGTGGGCCTGCATCCAGTTCTCAACGGCTTCTCGCGTGGGGCCAAGCTTACAATGAAAACAAAACCAACGTTTCTTGTCCTTTGGGTGCTGCTGCATAGTGGCCCGTGGCACGCTCAAGCACCCGCTGAAGCGCGACTATCTTCACAGGCCTGCGGCGGGTGCGCACACCCAAAGGACGCTGGTGCTTGACCCTGGGGAGCGAGTTGACAGCCGTAGCAACAGCAGCAAGACGCTTGTGGACCCGTTGCAGGAGAGCTTCATAGCCCTTCAAAGAATCTAATTGAGGCTGGATCAAATTCAAGGCTTTCCCGAGGCCACGTTGGGCCAGGGCGTCAGCTCGTTCGTTACCTAGTGTTACAAACCAGGGCTGGGAAGCTACGCTCAGGCTCACGGCATAGAGATGGGAGTTACACTTCTTCACGCTGACATTGGAGATCCTGTCGGGCCTCTGGAGGATAGCCTGCTTGATCCGCTGCCACCACTGCATATGGGGACCTTGAGGGTAAAGCCACAACCGAGAGTTCCAACCACGGTACACTAGGGCGTTGTCGGTCCAGATCTCGAGGGCCCCCCTGGGTGTAGAGGAGACAGTAGTACAGGCCAGCCAATTCAGCACAGGGAACCGTCTGACGGCCGTCGATGGTGCCGAAAAGCACAGGAAAAACGATCCGCAGCAGGAGACCTGTCGAAATCGAGAGCGGCCCCCCAGCCTCCACGAGCAATACGGGCATCTGCTGAATTGATGGAGCCGCCGAGGTAGGCCCTGCAGGCCTGGATCGGGTAACCGCTGATGCAAGAGTAGCCCTCGAACTGGGGCACCTGGATTGGCATGTCGACGTCGTAGACGACCTGGGCCTCATTCCATTCTGGGGCCTCTGGAACCTTGTTGGGCCTGGCTGGCAAGATACCACGGCACCAGAACATCTTCATATCAGGCTCAGCACTCACAGACTGAGCAGCTCTGTTCTTGAGGTCCTGGGTACGGCGGATCCAGTCATGGTCGATGTCACCATTTTTCTCGCACAGGTAGCAACGGTGCAGCAAGTCCTCAGCTTCCTTTCCACAGCGCGGGCACAAGGCTCAACAAACGTAGCCCGCTGCGGAGGTGCGCTGAGCAGTCCAGCAACTCCCAGTAACGATGTTTTCCAGCGCACCCGCTTCCTTGAAGAACTTCTTGCGTCTCATCCAGCGCAAGGTGCGCTGCGTCGCTTGAAGATGACCTCCTTGTTCACAGCCAAAGCCCTCAGGATGTTGACCAGCTTGCTTCCACAGGTCGGCTTCAACACGGGCATGCACTGCATCGAAGAGGGAGCCCAAATCTGTGCCATCGGGGTTATAGGTCCAAGCATTGCCATCTGGGTCCGTCCAGCGGTCAGGGTGACGAAGTTGCCAGCCAATCTCGCCCATGCCGACGATCAAGGCAGCCATGGGCCCTGTGACCGACCGCCACTTGGACTCGGCACGGGTCTCGGCCATCTTGGCATACACAGCCTCCCATCCCAACCGAACTCGAGCATGGCAGGGTTCTTGCTGCGCCCAGAAGGTGAACCACTCCGTGATCTGGCGTCTGAGATTGAAAGAAAGCGGGTCCTGCTTATCGTAGATGTGGAGCGTGATGGTCGAAGTGCATCTGCCACCCACTGAAAAGCCTGCCATGGTAGCTGCCGTAGCTCGTTCCTGCTTGACTCGGGTAGCAGGCAGTCCCATGACGGAGGCGTCGTAGGTCCTCTTGGCCCGAAGGTTGGCGGTGTATAGCCTTGCAGTGACGTTGCGTCCAACTCCGCGCTTCTGGAAGATCTGTGCCCGTCGGAACCTCTTGGCGGTCGCTCTGGCCCCCTTGGCCGCAGTAGGAGTACGCCGTGATCTACCCACCGTCGAGCGAAGCCGAGGTCTCTGGTTGTCTTGGCCGATCGGATGTTGACGCCAACCTTGCGGATTGAGTTGATAACTGCCTGCCGAACTGAGCGGTGGCCTATGATGACGGTCTTCTCAGAGACCTTTAGTCCAAGCTTCTGAATTCCGTCGACGAGAGCTGCCGAGCCTATTTCCATTTGATGTCGTACAAGGGAACGGTGTCCTTCTGCCCGCGCCATGAGATCGTCCACGAACTCTCGCAGCATGAGGCCCTGGTAGCGCAAGTGGACATGCTCCAGCAGGTCGTATAGGTATGCCCTGGCCATGTTGTTCGCCTCTGTACATCCAGCGATTAGCCCATTATGTGGGGCAACAGCACCAGAACTGTAGACATCTCGGACACGAATGATGCGTGGGCTGATGTAAAGCAGGCAGGACATATACAGTACCACAGGTGAGAAGTCCAGCTTGGTGGCGAGGACGCACAGGAGGCTGATGTCCACATGGTCATAGAACTTCATAATGTCCAGGAACAGGGTGGTCACATCTGTGTCACCTCGCACGGCTGACACTTCATCCAGTATGAGCGTCGTGAGCGCCGCCTGCAGTGACGAAGATCCCTTGATGGCTTTATCCCAGAAGCCAGCCTTGGCGTCGCACCACTGGCCTGTGAGGTACCGATTCATACGTCCCCAGACCCTGGCTGGCATGGGTAGCAAACCTATGGGCCTTTCATCGCCCGTGGTTACCGCTTCACCTTTGGCAAGGAGACGAATCCAGTTTTGCATGAGCTGGCAAGGCCAAGATAACCTGTGGACGCAAGAATTCAACAACTGAGCAAACTCCTGCTTCGCTTGCTGGCTGACCGCCTGGAGCGACGCACGTGACCATTGATCTGTGGACTGCGCCGTTTGCAGTGGAATACTTCTGAGAGCACCTTGGAGATCATCCATGGTGTAATCGACCCAGTCCGTGTGAAGCTGCTCGCGCGCCTTGCGGCGCAGGGCATTCATGCTGTCGGTGAGGTCGCTGCCTGCCGAATGTGTGGTCCATCGCTCTTGCCACTTGGCTGCCCTGTCATCGACCGAGCCCTGAGGGTCGCCAATGACCTGGTGGTTATGGATGGCGGTGTCTAGCAGGTCCTTCTTCTCGGCCTTCGAGATATAGCGACGTGCTCCTTTAAGGCTGCCCTGCAGAGCTGTTTGGGCCCATTCCCTCAGTGAGATCTGCGTTGCTGTCCATGTAGCCTTGGAGTGCGCCTCAGAGAAGGCGCGGGACTTGGCGAGCACATCAGAGATTACATCTGAGGTCGGGTACATCTGATCATATCGGACTTGATGGAGGATCGTACTGAGCTCGTCCAGTAGGGCCGTCTCGCCTTCTGGGCAATCCTGGGGGGCCGTTGTCCCCATCTTCTGCACCGTGTCCACCATGTTGTCCAGGAGCTGCATCGGACCTGCAGGAGGGCCAGGCTGGTCATGAGGCTCTGCGCCATCCGAGGCCTGGTCGCCTTCAGATCGCCGCCCATCATCCTCAGGCGGCGTTCCGTCTTGAAGGAGGCCCCGAAACATCTGACGCGCTCCGACGCCGATCCCCCCAGGGCCCCTATCAGTCTCTTGAGGCTTACCTCCCAAGATGTCCAAGAGACCCACCCAAGCCTTCCGCAACGTTGGCAACTGTCGGAGCTTGGCGCGATAGCGAGCATCCGATATTAGAGTGTTCTGGCCGCTCTGCGTCTCGCAGACGTCCTCGTGGTAGAGGATGCAGTTCGCCTGGCTCCTCAGGCTCGCGCTGCAGCAGCCCCAGGTAGTCAGAGCAGTCGATGTCGTAGTTGATCGCGTCGAAGGGGTCCGCCTCTTCGTCGTCCATGCTGGTGACGGCTGGCCGCGGTGTTGTCCACGTCGGAGCTGAAGATACGGCTTGGTCTGGAAGTTGTAGTCGGCTGCCGAAGGGGATGTCAGTCCACGGGTAGCACTGGTAAGACGGCGTGCGTGCAACCATGGGCGCAATAGGGTCATCCAGTACCGCGTCAGCAGCTTGGTGGTCTCGTTGGTCATCAGTCTTGGGCCTGATGGTGCTGATGTTCGCTTCACTCTGCGATTGGCGTCGCTCGCACTGTTTGACGAAGACTTGGGGCTGGCTGGTGAGGCTGATTCAGGCGTTGGTCTCGAGCTGCTTGGTGCCTGCTTGGATGTGCATGGGGTCGGGTCCAATAGCGTAGCGGCTGTCCTCTACGGCGCTCGTCACTGATCGGCATGGCATCCGTCAGGTTGAGTAGAGAGGCCTCCGCGGCCATGGCCCATCTGCCGTACGACTCCGCAAGGTCCCTGGCAGCGGCTGGGCCGAGTGCGCAGGCTATGCACTGCTGCGTCTCTGAGCTGGCCTCCAAGATTGGGATGTCCTGGACCTGGTGCATGTAGTTCTCCCAGGCTTCGTGGTCGACGATGTACGGCACCGTTTGACGTAGTGGTCTTGTAGCAGGTGGTCATGCACATCGCCGCCATGTTCCAATACCTCGCCATCTTCAGTATGGTGGAGCTGCGCATGGCAGTGACGATCGTTCTGTTTCCTCTTGGGCCCTCTCTCAATGTGGATCTCGTGGCCTGGGGTCTCAATGGGAGCTGGGAGGAGAGGACGAGTGCACAGAACAGCAGCAGGCCTCGAATGCATGCGGATCTCGATGCCCGCGTGCGGCTGCCACGGAACGTCATAGACAGGCTCCACGGACTTGACGAGCGGCAGGAACATTAGCGAACATAGACCCCAATCTATCATACGCCCTGAGCTTCCCGCGCAGGTGAACTCGCAGTTGGGTTGGAGATACTCAGCCGCAAAAGCTTCGTGCCAACACGAGGCCCTGAACTGCTCTGGAGTGTTGTTGAAGTCGCCGTAGACCAGCCACGGCGTGCCCAGCGTGCGCACGAGCGTGAGCAGCTGGTTGAGCTTGGAGATGTTGGTAGGGAGATCCAGCCCTTTGGGGTCCGAGGTGAGGTAGATAGTGATGAAGGCGACCGCAACGTGCTTGAGGCGGACCATGGTGATTGCAATGTCATGGAGCTGCTGGAACAGTAGGTCATCGCCACACCCCGTGGCTAGATGCGGAAATGTGTTGAACTGCCTCGCTCGCGCCCAGAGAGCTCCCCCAGAGCTGCCCTTTCCCGACGTCGGCGTGGCTGGTGCCGTAGTATACTCAGTGCGCCACCCCATGCCTCTGAGGTGCCGCTGCTCGTCCTCAAGCTTCTTGCCATACAGGTGGGTTTCCACAAACCCCATGAAGTCGTATGGCGCATCCCTGCAGAACTCACGGACGGCGTAGGACAAGTTACTGATGTTCGCGTAGAAGACGCGCAGGTCGCGCGTCGCCAGGCGCTGGGAGCGTAGGTCAGGAGCACTGCTGACTCGTGCCTTTGCCCTCGCCCACGCCCTTGGTGGCTGCCATTTGAGCTGCACGTACTCGGGTCTTCTCGTCCACGAACCGCTTGACTTCCCCTGCGTTCGTGAAGTCGTACGTGTTGGCTGTTGGCACTGGAGCAGCGGCTTCTTCGTTCTGGGCGGCGTCAGTGGCTGCAGGGGCACCGCGGTGGTCTCCTTCGTCCTTCTTGCGCTTCTTGAGGGTGATGGTCTCGCAGTGCTTCTTGGCGGTGGCGACCGCATCACGAGCTTGCTCTCCAGTGCGGTGGTGGTTCCCCATGGCCTTCTTGGCCTTCTCGTGGATTGACTTCGCTTGATCATAGGCTGCGCGCTCTTCAGGGGCCAGGAGAGCCAGATCGCCTTCTTCCAGCACGGGGAAATCATCTTCGCCTTCCTCTGCGGTCGGAGTAGGTGATGGAGGCTCTGCCCTACAGGTCCGAAGAAGAGTTGAAAAAAGGCGTTCCACTTCAGATGAGACCTGCTGGGTCTCGTCGATGTTTCTGGTGAGCTTCTCAACCAATTCGTCTTGCCAGGCCGCTGCTCGCTGGAGCTGGGACTTGAGGCGCTCTTGCTGGCCTTGGAGTCTGCGCAGGGTAGCGGCTGCGTCCTCCAGCTGCTTGATCGTGGGCTTGGCTGGTGGCTGACTGGGCGCTGGGGCGCTTGGGAACTTCTCTGCCAGCATTCGAGCTCCCTCCTCATCGCCTTTTTTTTTGAGTGCTTCCACTGCCTTCTGCATGGTGGCTGCGACGGCGGGGTCCACGGGCGCTGTGTCCAGCTGGAAGCGCACCACGGATCCTGGGCGAAGGAGAGAGGTCCAGTCGTAGATGCCACACTTGTTACATTTCTCCCGTCCTGGCTTGAGCGCCTGAGTCTTCCAAATCCAGCTGGTACCAGGAGGGCACTGAGGACAAACCAGATAGTCATTCTTGCGCCTACTGGCTGGCGATTGTGAACGGGGCTTGCCTTTCGGATCCTTGGACCTCGGGCGGACCATGTCGTAGCCGTTGTTCTGGCCGTACTCCAGCGTCCCCACGATGGAGCAGCTGGCCAGGGAGAATGTTCAATCCCAGGGATATCGCTGGCTCGGCAGAGCCACCCCTCAAGTCGGAACAAAAGTGTGCTGCACGCGGGCTTGCGCACAGCACCAGTTGTGGTGCCGACCCTGGGACTTTCGGTATGCAGAAACGCGCTGGCGGACCTGCAAGCCGAAATATACTTGAGAGGAGGAGAACGAGGAGGAGGAGGAGGAAAAGGAGGAGGAGGAATGAGAGGAGGAGGAGGAGGAGAAGGAGGAGGAGGCGGAATAACAGGAGGAGGAGGAGGAAAAAGAGTAGCAGGAGAAGGAGGAGGAGGAGGAGGAATAACAGGAGGAGGAGGAGGAGGAGGAGGAGGAGGAGGAGGAGAAGGATGAGCAGGAGAAGGAGGAGCAGGAGGAGGAGGAGGAGGAGGAAGATCAGCATCCCACGCGTCCCCGGGCATGCACACGCTCTCCCACGGGCGGGCAAGGCCTGGGAAGCCGCCGGCCAACTCGGGGGGGTCGCCCTCGTGGCTCTGGCTCGGCGTTTCGAGAATGTTTTCCCATCGCACGCGGATGTGTCATCGGCATCCTCGTGCGAAGGGGGGGCTGCGCAACGGTGTGCGCGATCGTTCGTGGATGATGTGCGGTTTAGCTGTGGACGCAATCGTTCTCAGGCCTCGGCCATGAGCTGGTGCCTGATGAGCAGGCTGAACGCATGTGGTGTCATCTGTAGTGGAACAGAAAATGACACAAACATAAAACTCCGAGGTCCGCGCGGATTTCTCGGATCGGCGCTGGACCCCCCTCCCTGGCGCGCGGAGCGCGCCAGGGGCGGCGCCGGAGGCGACGCCGGGGGGCCCCAGCGCCGATCCGGGAAATCCGCGCGGACCTCCGAGTTTTTATGTTTATGCCACTTTTTGTTCCCCTGACTCCGTTCCATTCCCTCCCCATCCCCCCGTCCCCCCTTCGTGCCTACATCAACTCAGCCTGAAAAAACGTATCTCCCCAATGTTGTCCCTGCCGCCGCCCATGTCCTCACGCGCAGGGCTGCCCAAATATGATACGGAAAATGGTAGCTCCGAGCAAACAGCTCCCCTCGAAAACGGCGCTTCCCCACTAGCGGTGGCCACGTAAACTGTGTTTCGTCCCACGGCACGTCGCTCTCGCTGCATCGTTGGCCGCATTCTTGCATCAGCCAGAGGTGGCCGTATCGGTGAAGCGTTTGCCACGTTTCAAAATGACCACGCTCGCCGCAGCGCTGGCCGCACCTTCTCCACGCTCCTCCTGAACCCTCTTAGAGACAGCTGTTCTTTCGAGACCGTGACCTTCCTCGAATCTCGACCTTGCGGAAACAACCGACCCGACTCCACGGTGAAGGACGCGCGGGTGGAAGAGGCAGGCTGACAGATGCGACGCGATAGCACGCGGTTTGCCGTGCACCCAGCCTCTTACCCTCCCAGGACGGGCAAGGAGGCACCATGGCCGCTGCTGCCAGCAGAAATCGCCAGGGGTGCGTCCTGAACAAGATATCGAGGCGTAGCTGGCCGTGGCGACGACCGAAGGGCAGCGGCATCGACATGTTGTTAGTTGTGTTTCTCTTTTCCTTCTTCCTCCTCCTCCTCCTTCTCCTCCTTCTCCTCCTTGTCTGGGCACGCTCGACCTTCTGTTCCACTTCGTTCTCTTCCTGTGGACACGCTCGACCTCATCCTGCCCCTCTTCTTCCTCCACCTCCTCGCGCTCGCCTGGCGGTCCAAAGTGTTCGTGCACTGATGCTCGGAGAAGCTGCTGCGCCACCGTGGGCACAAACAACTCTGATTCCGATTCCGACGCGTGGAAACCACTCGCCCGCAGCGCGCAATATGGGAAGGTGGCAGCTGCGGGGGGGCGAAGAGAATCCGCCGTCGAATGTGACAAGGCCCAGCCGCGCATATTGGCGGGAGGGGGAGTGGGAGACGCCGGGGGCGCGAGCGAAACGATTACGACATATGCAACGCGACCAATGCTGAGCGATAGAACCTGAGCACCTGTCAACATGAGATCGGCAATGGGCAAAACAACGTGACCCGACGCGCTGGTATCTGGCCGCAGTGGGCCATTCATTCATTTGTACTTTCACCACAGCAGTAACACGGGAATTTGACGAAACGGCAAGTAACACTTGAACTTCCTGCCAAGAGAACTCTTTGGCCTCCTGCTCTGAAAATAGGAAGCCAACTGGAAGCCTCTGGGAGGACTTCTCGATCAAATTGCCGGGATGAAAGAAAGCAGCGCGTCGCAGTAACAAAAGTGCGGTATATTTTGTTCATGAGCTGCTCAAACGAGGAGGAAGGGAAGGTGGGCGAGAGCAGCAGCGGCAGCTGCGGCGACTCTCAAGCGGGAAAGGCGGGAAGAGGCGAGGACCGCGGCTCAAGATTCAAAGGGGGGCCCGCAGAGGCGAGCGCCAGGCACTCGGCAAGAGCAGTTTCCAAAAGCGAGGGCAGAGCGGGGGATGGGGGAGGTCTGCAAGACTGATAGCTAAGATCCCCTTCGCCGGCACGTTTCAAATCCACGGTAACTTCGCGCCAGGCGCTCAAAGAAAAAAACACTGGCCCTCAGCCATGCACTGCAGTGGAGCGACGCGAGGCATTGAAATTTCGGGGCCCCCCACGGGCGAGCGAGAATTGACCGGAACGCGGCAAAGCACAAATGGGGATTCTCAGCAGCCCGGCCGCGGCAACGCCTTCCTGGCGGGGAAGGGCGGAGGGGTGGCGTGGGGGGGGAATGAAAACACACGTGAAGACGCAAGCCACTATGGAATCGCAGGGACGCGCCGCGACCCCAGGAGAAGCGCCCCGACGAGCGCGCGAGATACCTCGAGAAAGCCATTTGGCAAAAAGCCCACAACGCGACTCATCTGCGTCCGCTGGGCCGAGCCAGTCCTGAGCATTTGAGCAGACCTCTGGCGGAGAAAACAGACCCGGCGGGAAATGGGCGGGATATCACTCAGTCGTCTCGCTCGCCATTCTCCCATTGAAGGGCCCACTCGCCAGCGCGACCGCGCGCGCGGGGCATTCGAGAAGCAGCGAGGCCACTCCTGCCGCCACCGCGATGACCCGACACAAGATGCGCATCGAAGACAGTTGTCGCAGCGCCGCTCCGGCGTCGTCTGCGCGCGCGCGAGCTTTGTCCACTCCGCGATCGCCGACTGATCTTATCATGCCCCGCGCCCCTGGGCGACGCCACTTGGGACCGCGCAAGGACGCGCTCTTTTTTTGCGTGAAAAAAACGAGTGCACGTGAAACCTGCATCAAGCTCAACGGTGAAAAAAAGTAGGTGTAAGGAGTGCGCAAGATTCAACGCCATGCGCAACTTCGCGCGGGCACGGGCCGGAAAGGCCGCGCAGAAGTCAAAGCTCAGACGTGCAGGTTTACGCGAGAGAGCCAAAGCACCAGCCGCATACTTTCTGGCACTCGCCCAACTCAACGTTATGCTGTCCGAAACTTAGACCTTGCACGAAGCCTCGTTGGAGCGAGCGCGCGCGTCTGGTGATAGCGCGGGATAGACGCCTGAACGCCGCTGTCGCAATGATCGCAGTGTCCGTGTTCTTCAGCCCGAAAGGTCTTTGTCCAGAAGTAGCGCGCGCGCATCCAGCGGCCACCTCCTTCTCACTGGGTTTCGGCACGAAGGCGCCGAGCAACTACTTCCATCCAGCGGGAACGCCGCTGCCGTGGCGCAACCGCCGACAGAGACCCACAGGCGCGAGGAGCGCGCTGCCAAGCAGAATGGGGGAGAACAGATCAGGTCCGTGGGCCGGATCGGAGAGCCTCGCGAGAGCGTTCTGGAAGTCCTCCAAAGCGGGCGGCGGGATGTCGGGGATGGCGATGTTGGGCGCAAAGCACTGAAGATATACATGAGCTGCGAATTCGTCGATACTCTCAGGACCAATGCCCCCCCCCCCCCCCGTTGAGACGCAATGCCAGACCTGGCGTCAGCCTCGTCGGCGGTGACCTCTTCTCCCACTCCAAGCCCCGCCAGGGTGAGGCGCTTGTCGAACGGAGTCCAAAATGCGAAGACGTTCGACCGTCTTCGCCCGCGTGCCAGAGCCGACCGACCGGGAAAGTCTGCTGTGCGCCCCATGCTGCTCTCTCTCGGCCCCCGCCGAACGGGGGGCGTCGAGCCGCGCAGCGCGCCCGCGCGGTCTGCAAGAGAAAAGGGCGGCACCGATATATCAAGTCGGCTGCGCCGTCGGCCGAAGTCACGCTGCAGTAGCCGATCCGCTCCGCGGAAGTCCTGCCTCCAAATAAGGCTGAGGAACGATCTCATCGATAGCAACTGCCTCGCGGGGCCCACCGTGTGTGCGCGTGTGTGTGTGTGTGTGTGTGCGTGTGTGCGTGTGTGTGTGTGTGTGCGTGTGTGCGTGTGTGCGTGTGTGCGTGTGTGCGTGTGTGCGTGTGTGCGTGTGCGTGTGCGTGTGCGTGTGCGTGTGCGTGTGCGTGTGCGTGTGCGTGTGCGTGTGCGTGTGCGTGTGCGTGTGCGTGTGCGTGTGCGTGTGCGTGTGCGTGTGCGTGTGCGTGTGCGTGTGCGTGTGCGTGTGCGTGTGCGTGTGCGTGTGCGTGTGCGTGTGCGTGTGCGTGCGTGTGCGTGTGCGTGTGCGTGTGCGTGTGCGTGTGCGTGTGCGTGTGCGTGTGCGTGTGCGTGTGCGTGTGCGTGTGCGTGTGCGTGTGTCTGTGTGTGTGTGTGTGTGTGCGTTTTTTTTTTTGTTTTTCTCTCCTTGTCTTGGTGTTGTTTTGGTTGGGGGGGGGGGGCTTTAAAAGAAAAACTAAAGCGGCTATCGCGGGGCGACTCTGCGACCTCCTTTGCAGAACATTCTTTGCGCTGTGCCAGTAGGGGCAGAGGCGAAAGAGACGCTGCGTCAATCTGTTGCATAGTGCCCCGAAGAAGTTCGTGAATTTGGCGCGCAGAAAGAGGCGCCTCGGACTGGGCTGGAAATCGAGATTAGGGGGAAGGCGATGCCGGAGGAGTATCACCAACAACGAAGCATGATCCGAAATTCCTCTCTGCCCGAGGGCCTCGAGCAACTCCTGGGCACATGCTGCGACATCATCATAATGCGCCAGCTGGGGCCAGATAAAACGCAACTGTCAATGCTCGATAGATGCCCGTGTGCTTTTTCTTCACTGCGACGGACCTGGGGGTTCAATTCCAATCATCTGTCCGAGAGTCGCCTTCCATCTTTCGTCGCGGGCCCTGCGCCAGCCCGTGGCATCGGCCGTCGGAGCAAAGGAGGCAGCTGGCACAACGGGTCTGGGAGGGTCAGACGAGAAATTGATGCCCTCCACGACAGCAAACTGGCTCGTCGGATACGTCCTGGCTCCGCTCGTGGGGAATGATCGAATCTCGGTCGGCAGCGGATCGACCGAAGTTGTGGAGCATTGCGACGATGGGTCGTGAATCGAATCGACGACGGTGAGTCGCAGGCTACCAGCTCCAGCGCGAGCCCTTGCACAACGCGAGATGCCCCTCTGAAGCAGTGCCGACGGTGGAGAAAAGGGGCGAACGTAACCACCCCGGCCGTGTTGCAAGCGTCAAAGACACAACAAATAGCACGGCAAGGACGAATGAAAAAAAGAGCAGGGCATCTTGTAGATCTGGAGAACCATAGCGGCAACCAAGCCTAGCCCAAAGAGGAGTGACTTGAGGAAGTCGCATTCCTTGGACTGAGTGGCGGGGTCGCGGTGGCAAAGAGCCCGGGCGCCCCACGAAGACAGCCAGAAAACAATATCCTTCGATGGGGACGGAGGGAGGAGGCGAAAACAACTGCTAAACACTCCAATTGTGCAGGGGCGTTTTGGCCACGAAAGAGGCCGGCCACATCCTCCGCGATCTCCGCTCTGTTGTTGTTGAACTCACAACGACGCCGGTTATCTCACTCCACCAGCCGCTCGGCGCCAGCTCTCACTGTAATCATGCACGCTGGCTTCCACTGGTGCGAAATCTCCCCCTTGAGGTGGTTTCTGTGGAATGCAATGTTGTACCGCTCGGACATCTACTTGCGCAGCGGCTTTGTATTGAGCCCCCGCTTGATCTGGCACTGGTTCTTGCACGTATATATGATATGGTTAGTCGGCGTGTTATCAAGATCGGCCGTCTTGAAATACCAGTCGCAGCCGTCCGCTTTCTTGGTGTTGGAGATGCATTGCGTCACAAGTCGTGCAGCAAAGCCACGGGCACCATGGAAGGCCAGCGCAAATCGCCGTCCAACCTTGTCCTCCAAGATGTCCTAGTCGTCGACGTCCACGTTGCATACATCGAGCCATGGTTCGATGGCATTGGCCACTCGCTCGCGAGTGGACATCGCTTGTGCTCTGATGACCAGGTTGCAGGGATTCGGGTCCCTGTTGCAACTAGGTGGATGCAGCAGCTAGCTTGGGCGGTTCCTATTGTACCACCAGGAGCTCACATCGAACAGGCTTGGACCCCTCGGCCATCTCTGCAAAAGGACTTGTCGCTCTTGGTGAGTCGCTGGCCCATGTGTGCAATCCGAACCGCCAACTGCATCGGGGGTGAGGCGGTGTGCGACGTGATGTGGACGCGAGGGTGGCCACGTTGGATTGGATTCCGCCAAACAACTCGAACGTGTCGCCTTTCGTGGCGTCCACGTGTGCACACATGTCAGCGCCAGGGTCACCAATGCGAGCATGCTTGTGAGGAGACTGGCGCTTAACTGACGTAGCTGGCCACGTCGAGCTCGCGCCATCGCTGGAGGCCAAACCCAGTCGTATGGACGTCGAGGTGATGAGCCTGCTGCCGTCAGGGCCGCCTCACAGTAAGATCGTTCGAGACACAATCGCCAACACTCGAGGAAGACGACGGATGGGTCCAAAGCTAATCCCTGAACCTCGGGCGTCTATAGCCCTTCACAACGTTTCGCCTTGAGCCCAAATCGCTACGGACCTCCTCCTCCTCCTCGTCCTCCTCCCTTTC